GAATCTGGACTAGAACCCGAAGAAACGGCATTTCGCAAAAGAAGCCATACCGTTGACAGTTCCTACGCCAGGCCCAAAAATCACGTTCATTTTTCATCAAAATTAACAACCACTGAACCTTGTAAACATGGGTCTTCTGACGACATTCATAAACGTCAAGGTATTCTAAGACATCATGACCGGGCTAGAAACAGGAGCAACACATTTGACAGTCCAAACACACAGAGAGAGGAAGTGCCCCCAAAAGAAAAACAAGATAAGCCAAAACATACAGAAAACGGGAAATTACAAAAGAACCACGAGCATCACAAGAAATCTGAAACCCAGGAGCACTCTTCAGGGTTTATGAATATTTTTCGGTCCAAATCCAAGACTGAGAGTTCTACAAACAAAGATTCAAAATCACCAATACGGAAAAAAGACAGTAAATGAGCTGATAATGGTGCTTGAAGTATGTTAACTTCATTTTAAGAGAACTTGATTGAAGATTGTGTCAAAAGTATGTGTCTACTGGTACTTGAAACCATGTAATATTTGCTTTTAGAACTTTTTATAGCACTCTTGCGAAAGAAAAAATGGAGATGAGCACTTTGTTTTTATCTATCGGAAGTAAGTTAATCTTCAGGAAATTATTCTTTCATCAAAAAGACAAGGGACTCGTTTTGGAAAATCGTAAATGTCAAAACTGTTCAAAATAGATGTTCATATCTATCATCTTCACAGATATTGTCGGAATAATTTGAGCATATTACGACAATATGGAAAGCTTAATCTATTTTTCTAAAACGACTCGTGCCATATTGTACTTGATATACAGCAGATAATGGTAATTTGAACTTTGTCATATGAAGTCTGCCATTCTTTATTAGTTGTGTTCAATTTCCGTTTAATATTGTTGCTTTGTGTTTTCCTTAATCTTCTAAATACACGTTCGTGAAAGCCTTTCAGAAAATGGCTACAAGTTTCAACAATTAACAACCTTCTGTTTGTTTACATTTAAAATTTCTTCCATGTAAGATAATATTGACTTTTCTTTGGAAATTCGTATTACTTATTATTAAACAAGAAAAGTATTAAATGACCTGTGGTAGGCATGTTGTTCCGTCATCTACAAACAAAAGAACTCTTGCCAAACTAACACATTTTTTTTTATTTTTGGTTATGAGCTGTCATTGAGTAATCAATTCAAGGAATGGAATTTCGAATTTTGCCAAGGAACGCAGATAATTAGAACAAGACTATTTCATGCAAATTAAGAACACGTTCGAAATATCAGTTGTATATATATATATAAACTTGTTTAAATTTTGTTTTTCGTAGTAGATATTCATTTTTGTAATTGTTTAATTTTCTTTCAAATAGCAATGAAATCAAATGTGCAATACTTGGTACCTAAACAAGTCAGTCATTGTACATATTTATTCCTCGTGTATGTCAGCGTGTTTTTGTTTGTTAAAATTCATGAAATTGAAAGCAAGAGCTGTGCAAGAGAACAAATACATGTATGCTGAAAATATCCCAATATATATACTTTTAGAAAGTAGTTACAAAGGTTGTAAATGTTTTAGATGTTTGTTTCAAGATTTAATTATTGTAAATTGACAATTTCACATTCCAAATAGATGTTTGCATCGATTTTATTGTAAAGAAAAATGAAAATAATGCAAGATATCGAAAAAAAAAATCAAAATCAATATTTCAGGGCCTTGTTTCTTTCAGTGTGTGATAAACCAAATAAAGCTACAAGTCAAACACGTGAAGGCTTTCATGTATGAGGGGTAAAAAACAAAACAAACCCATTTTGATTTTCTCCTGTAGCGTCTTATTTTATGATAAACCGCGAAGAAAAACAAGTCAATAAATTGAACGTATTTTTAAACAAAGGGTGATTGTCATCATTTTAATTTTCCCTATTTAAAAATTTTAATATCAAAGTATGGTATTGTTATCAAACATCACGTACCTCGGTGATTTACGTTCGATAATGTCACAACCACCACCACCTACATTTTTTTTTGGATGTAATTGAAAATACTGCTGATTCAAGCAGACGATGATTCTCGCAGACGGTAATGACGACAGGAAGTAGGGATAGGAAGATGACGAGCGTAAAACAAAACACAGAGGACCGAATAAAACGGATGTTAAAAAATAAAAATTCCATTTCTTACACAATCTTATTGAGTTTTTCAAAGAATTATTGCTCTCTCGAGATTTTTTTTTCATCAGGTGCCCTTTTTCGTGTTCATTTTTACAACTTTGTGGGTGGCGTCAGGACTCAACGGTACCTTATAGTGGTATGATAATTAATCAGTACTTACTCATAATTTATATTACCAGTATCAGGTACACTTTTATTTTAAATGTACTCCAATCAAGGGTTTGAGTTATGGGCAGGTCATCTTGGCTTTGTACCTTTGACCTTCGATAGAAACAATAAAAAGTGAATCCACTGAAATACTATCACGATGACATTTTTAACAGAAGATGATCTTCCAACATGAATCGGTCAAAGTACAGCTTGATTTAGGAAAATGTTAAGATTCCAGCTTAGAATTGTTACTTCGCATCTTCTTTTTTTTTTTTTAAAGAAGAAAATAGATTTGATCAATTTGTCCACTGACGAGTGAAATTAAGTCTTTATCAATATAAGAATCTAAAAAGAATTCTTTCACTCATCGATTCCAGTTACGAATACGTACTTCATTGTCACATCTAACTGCGTAGATATCATATGTGGATTTGACTTAGAAGTCCCTTATCTTTTTTTCATGTTTTGTGATTTCGGTGGGGGGGGGGGGGGTTGCTTTTAGAAAAAAAAAATATTTCTTACATAACTGATACTAGTTCTATAATTCTACTAAAATTGTTTATCTCTGGGTCAATCTTTTCTATACAACAGTGATGATACGCCCCTTTCAGTCTTTTTTCTTTGAAAAGAGAACTAGAGGAGCGGATCGTCATCTCAGCTAGCAAAGATCAAATCAAACATAATCAAGAAACAATAATATTCAGATATTATGAAGTTGAAGTGGGTGATAATGATTATCATTTATTGTCCTATCATTGGTTTTTGTCATTTGGTTACTTTCATCCTATTATTGGTTATTGTCCTATCCGAAAACATCTTGTCTACAAGATGCTTTTGAAGGCATACCAAACTTGAATTGTTGTTAAATAGTATTTTTTAGGAGAAGAACAGCTAGTACATAAATTTGATGTTTAGCAATTTTCCAGTTTAAATTCTTAAAACATCGAGATCCTGAAATTGTCAATACAATTCTGATATACATTTGCTAACTAAGGCCTATTCAAAGGAAAGACTGACTCAAAGAAGAGAAAATACTCGACGGAGATATTTCATTATACGTACGTCTCTTCCCTCTCTTTACATTGACAATCACGTGGGTCAATATTAGAGTAGGACAACAAAACATTAATTAACAAGGTAACCAACCAACTCCAATCGACCTTCTTCAGTCGAGTAATCCAATAATCTTACTGCAAAATAAGGTTCTTGCAAACAAAATGACCAATCAAATTAATTTCGGTAAGATAGAACCTATAAAAATGTGGTCAAAGCACTTTACTGCAGAACTCCAAATCCTCTAATATTGATAATTAAGCAGAGAAGCTATAAACTGTTCCCAGGAAGAAAAATCTCGGGGAGATTACAGAAGGAAATTCCCGATAAGGGAATTCCTATGAGATAAACTTAGATATCAATTTTTATTAATTAGTTCTTCAGTTTAAACGATTATTCAGACTAAAACTGATTATCTTTTTCATCGTCTTTAGAACTACGTTGTATATTAGAAAGCGACGGAAAGATAAGTGCAAGTGATGTATTAAGTTATTGATTTTTCTTATTTTTTCTAAACAACCATCTTTTATTTATGAAAATAAATGCTCTAGATTTAGTAGATTACATAAAAAAATTTTAATTAGATATTCCTACACGTATTGCAATTTCGCAACTAAGAAAAGAGGCAGACAAAAATTAATAAATTTTCGTGGAAACATGTCTATTATTGTTCTAAAAATTCCTTTTTCAAAAGTTTTAAAACGAATATGCGATATTTACACGAAATTAAAATTAATACATTAATTTTTGCAATGGAAAATAAAACCCATACTGATCACATTTAAGTTCTGTTTACGTTTTAAGTTAATATTTTATAGATTTTATGGTCATTAAAATGACTCTGTTAGCAATATAATCTATCACCAGGTCGTATTTGGCTGTCTTGTTTCATGCTGATAGCTAGGTCTTTCTTTTAAAACAGAATTCGGCTCTATGTAATGTTTATTTTCTTCCTGATCAGTACATAGGGCTCACGGTGGATGTGACGGGTAGACAGGGGATGTTTACTCCTATAAGACACCTGAACCCATCTTTGGAATTCCAGGTGTCCGTGTTTATGTCCTCTTTACGGTTTTGTTTACAGACTTTTTTAGATCGATTAAAGTTCAATATCTTCACCTTTTTTATCACAATTTTATTACTAGTAGTTCTCCAACCGAATTGAACTGAATCTAAACCAATTTGCAGAAGATTTGTAGAAGAATATTCATCTTTCAAAAATAAAACATATTTATAAAAAGTGTTTCTATAAATAAAAAAGTTTTAAAGAATAGTGAGAATACCATATACCCGGTATGTCATGTCTTTGATGTTAATTGGTTTCATATACAGCCGTTGTTTAGAAAATGCGTGTAGAAAATTCCCTTAAGAACCAAAATTATTCATAAATCGCAAACCGAAGCTAATTTATAAAAAAAATAAATGATCTTGAGCAGTTTCCATGATGATCCCTGAAAATATCTTTCAAATCGAGTTTTTTATCGCATAATATCGAAATGTACTATATCAAAATAATTACAGGAAACAGATGGAAAATTAAAAAAAAGTTCTTTGTAAGAAGAAGTAAATAAAAGTAGAAGGGGAAAAAAACAATAAGATCTTTTGCTGGTAAATAACCTTGATAAATTTTGTTCATAGATAGGAATTTATTGCAAGGGGGTAGTAAACATTTCGATATTTAGTTGCGTTGAAAAATCAAATCTTTTGATAACATCTTAAAATTTTCAAGTTTTGACACGACAGAGTATCCATGATCTAGAAGAAGTTTCTTAATGTCAGTTTCATTTTTCTCGCTGCAGTAGTCACACGAAACGGATATGACGTTTATGTTTGTTGATTTCAGTGGCATCGTCTGCAAGACATTGAGCTCCAAGCCACCAACGTCTATACTCAGAAAATCTACAGCTTTTAAATTCATGGCTAGAAGTATTGAATGTAAAGGAAAACACTGAACATCCTTGTGATCCGATCCATCGGATGAAGACTTAAGCATTCTTGAATACAAGCCTCTTCGTTCCAGCTTCATCTGAAACAAAATAAGGAAACATATAGTAATTAAGACTTCAAGAGCAACAACTAAATACATGTAGATACCCGTATCTTGAAAAAAATCAACAAGGCTGTCGATCGTATAACGTGCAAAAGGTGGTAAGACGTAGTAGAATATACAATCTTAAAATGAATTTATCTAGCTTTCATGTATCAATTCATCTATTTCGAATCCCACACTATTAAATAGCAAGTGTAACATTTTGCTGATCACCTCGGGCAAAGTGGAATATAAAATCATTAAAAAGTTTGTTTTTAGAAACAGTTATGTTTTTCCTATTAAATTAATGAACAGTGGCAATTTGATAAAGTAATGATATTTGTTTCTTACATATGAGTGTATTAATTGATGATTATTTGAACTTAATTTCACCCAAGGGACAATTTCTTTTATAAGAATTCCTATTTTCACAATTCCCCTTTTATTCGGTATTTTTGTTATTAGTGATATATGCTGTAAGATAGTTTACTTCTTGCATTTTTTCTCTCAAATTCTCGTGAAATTGAAATCATTGCTTACCATAACGGGGTATGGATAGGGACTGATACAGGCATTAATGGTGAAGGCCATCCTGTGCTTAAGCTTCAGTCTGCTGTAGCTTAGTGGATCGGGTTCGATTAACAACCCCTGCCATTTACGAAATCTCTCAAATAGCAACGATGATGATTGAGACTCTCCATCGAAAGCACCGCACTCTATATAGAAACCTTTTTCCTACAATAATTGTGTGATTGAAATGGATTTTAAAAAGAATAACAAAGCAACTTCCAGAACATAGCACAGGACAAATGCCCGTAAGCAGCAATTTTATTTGGGGGTTGGAGGAAGTTGATAATCCATAGAAAAGCAATATATTTTTTTAAAATCATTGGATGTTATTTTAAAGAGACACAGCAATAAATAAGCTTAGATTTCTACTATTAGCAAGATTTTTAGGGAGACCATTACCACATGGGTTTGGAAAAATTATCCTTGCTAGCCAAACAAAGGCATTAATAACTGAGTCAGAGAAGTAAATGTAAGTAAAAAAAGATAACCAAACGAAAGAGTAACAGCGAGAAAAGAAGTACATCAGACAAAGTAAAGACAAAAGGAGAGAGGAGAGAAACGTTTCAGAACTAGTCAAGACAATAACAGAGAGGAGATAAACGTTTCAGACCTAATCAAAACAATAACAGAGAAGAGAGAAACGTATCAGACAATAGTAAAGACAATAGCAAAGAGGAGAGAAACGCATTAGACCTAGTCAAGACAATAGCAAAGAGGAGAGAAACTCACCATACCTCGTAAAGACAATAGCAGATAGGAGAGAAACGTTTCAGACCTAGTAAACACAATAGCAGATAGGAGAGAAACGTTTCAGACCTCGTAAAGACAATAGCAGAGAAACGTTTCAGACCTAGTAAAGACAATAGCAGATAGGAGAGAAACTTTTCAGACCTAGTAAAGACAATAGCAAAGAGGGGAGAAACGTTTCAGACCTCGTAAAGACAATAGCAGAGAGTGCAGAAACGTTTCAAAAATGACAATAGCATAGAGACGTTTCAATAGCAGACCAAGTAGGAGAGAAACGTTTCAGACCTAGTAAAGACAATAGCAGATAGGAGAGAAACTTTTCAGACCTAGTATAAAGGACAATACCGGAGAGGGGAGAAATTTATCAGACCTAGTAAAGACAATAGCAGAGAGTGCAGAAACGTTTCAAACCTAATGACAATAGCATAGAGGATAGAAACGTTTCAGACTTATTAAAGGCAACATCAGAGATGTGAGAAACCTTGTAGACCAAGTAAGGACAATTACAGATAGGAGAAACGTATCAGACTTAGTAACGACTATAGCAGAGGGGAGAGTAACGTTTCAGACCTAGTGAAAACAATAGCAGAGAGGAGAGAAACGTTTCAGACCTAGTCAAGACAATAGCAAAGAGGGGAGAAACGTTTCAGACCTAGTCAAGACAATACCGGAGAGGGGAGAAATTAATCGACTATAGCAGAGGGGAGAGGAACGTTTTAGACCTTTCAAACCTAGTCAAGACAATAGCAGAGACGAGAGAAACGTTACAGTAAAGACAAAAGCAGAGAGTGGAAAAAACTTTTCAAACCTAATGACAATAGCATAGAGGAGAGAAACGTTTCAAACCTAGTCAATACAATAACAGAGAGAAGAGAAACGTATCAGACCTAGTTAAAACAGTAGCAGAGAGGAGAGAAACGTATTAGATCTAGTAAAAACAATAGTAGAAAAGGGAAAACGTTTCAAACCTTGTAAAAACAATAGCAGAGAGGATAGAAACGTTTCAGGCCTAGTAAAGGCAACATCAGAGATGTGAGAAACCTTGTAGACCAATAGCAGATAGGAGAAACGTATCAGACTTAGTAATTACTATAGCAGAGGGGAGAGGAACGTTTCAAACCTAGTCAAGACAATAGCAGAGACGAGAGAAACGTTACAGACTTACCGGTATTAAAGACAATACCAGAGAAGAGAGGAATGTTTCAGACCTAGTAAGAACAATAGCAGAGGGGAAAGGAACGTTTCAGAACTTAGCAAGACAAAAGTAGAGAAGGGAGAAACGTTTCAAACCTCGTAAAACAATAGCAGAGAGGATGGAAACGTTTCTACAATAGTAGAGAGGATAGAACCATTTCAGACCTAGCCAAGACAACAGCAGAGAGGAAAGAAACATTTCAGACCCAGTAAAAACAATAGCAGAGAGGATAGAAACGTTTCAGACCTCGTCAAGACAACAGCAGAGAGGAAAGAAACATTTCAGAACTAGTAAAGACAATAGCAGAGAGGGGACAAACGTTTCAGACCTCGAAAAGACAATGGCAGAGAGGAGAGAAACGTTTCAGACCTAGTTTTAATAAAACAGCAGCGAGGAGAGAAACGTTTCAGACCTAGTAAAGGCAACATCAGAGATGTGAGAAACCTAGTAGACCAGGTAAAGACAATAGCAGATAGGAGAAACGTATCAGACTTATTAACGACTATAGCAGAGGGGAGAGGAACGTTTCAGACCTAGTGAAGACAATAGCAGAGAGGGGAGAAACGTTCGAACCCAGTAAAGACAAAAACAGAGAAGAGAGAAACGTATTAGACCTAGTAAAACCAATAGCAGAGAGGAAAGAAACGTTTCAGACCTAGTCAAGACAATAGCAGAGATGAAAGAAACGTTTCAGACCTAGTCTAGACAATAGCAGTGGGGGATGAACATTTCAGACTTAGTAAAGACAACAGCAGAGAGGAGAGAAACGTTTCAGACCTAGTAAAGGCAACAGCAGAGAGGGGAGAAACGTTTTAGACTTAGTAAAGACAACAGCAGAGAGGGGAGAAACGTTTCAGACTGATTAAAGACAATACCAGAGAAGAGAGGAACGTTACATACTTAGTAAGGACAATAGCAGAGGGGAGAGAAACGTTTCAGACCAAGTAAAGTGAATAGCAGAGAGGGGAGAAATCAGAAAATCATCAGACTTAGTAAAGACAACAGCAGAGAGGGTAGAAACATGAGACCTAGTAAAGACCTTAGCACATCTACAGGACGCAACAAATCACATTCTTAAAGATAAATTGATTACTGTTTAAATTATAAGGGGGAATAAGTTGAAGAAAAAAATGTGACGGATGAACAGATTAGGACAATAACAATATACGCAAACTTCTTATCTAAGATATGGATATACTAAATACCTTGTTCCCCAACAAAGAGTCTACAAGAGCTGACTGTCCTGATGAATAGTCGACTTTGTTGTCGTAGAACTTGTACTGTAGATGTGAGGGATTATATATCCAGTAATTCCTTATTAGACTGACAAGACGATCGTCGTCCATGGTGATTTTCCCGCCATTCAATTCCATTGTCGCCGCTCTGAAATTGAATCCAGAAGTTCTGTTCTGCTTTATTGTTATCGGCTTAAACATTTTAGGTTCATAGCAAGAATTTGCTCTTAAGTCCTCCTCGTTGAGTTCCATAGGTTTATAAAAGACTCCCTGAACTGATTCCATTTCTGTATTCTGAGATTGTCTCTTGTTCTTTTCATAACTGACGGAGACTCTTAGACCAAAGAGTAGCGAAATAAGTATAGTGCCGCCCAGCAAAGTGAAGATTGAGATGATGTTTCTTGGAGTCATTTTACCTCCATATATCTGCATATGGGTTTTATCATATCGAAACTTTCGAAAGATATCTGAAAGAAGCTTACTGACATATTTTTCTGATAAAATTTACACACTTTTAATTAAAATTTAATATATCAAAAATAAATTCCCAATAGAAAAAAGGAAAATACCTGTATATAATTATTACATTAAGTTAAACACCAAAAAAAAAATCAATTTGAATTTTAAAATCTTTCTTACTGTGTTAAGTTAGTTGGTACCTAAGGTGTGAATCCAATGTACTGCATAAAAAGGGTAAAAGTAACTTTTTCAAGAGCACATTCATTAATAATCGATGTATAACCTATCGAATGCAGGGTTTCTCACAAGTGTTGCTTTTGATTTATGTTGCATTCTGAAACAGATGTTCGCTAAGACATGAATATAAAGATTTCACATAAAAAGAATCAATATAAAATCAAATGACGGTAACTTTTACGCTCTTTCCAACATTTTTCTTAATGAATTTATAGCTGATTTCAGAATTATATGCTAGTTTTATTCTTTTTTAAAATAATTTTTAAAAACTTTATCAGTTTATCAGATGTTATCTGCATTTTTAATGTAATTATAATTCGCAGATTAAAAAAACCTTACCAGCTTATTGTTACTGATTTATACATCGATATGAACTACGTATACATGTGGTCTCATGCAGCCTGCAAAGTAAGTAACAACCTATTTTTATTAGGCTCACTCACTCATTCGAATAAGTGATATCACCAAATCAAAAGGTGATTTCACTTTATGGCAGTAAATGCCAAAACGGCGCCTCATAAACCGCGTGGACAGGGTATGCTTACTGTTCCATGACACCTGATCCTACCTCCGTTATTTCTGGAGGTCTGTGATTGCTCTGCTCCCAGTTATTAGTAGTACCGGTGTTGTTTAATTTAAATTTTGGACATGAACACTATTCTTTATCTTCACTTTCCTTGCTAAACTTGATTAAACATTCGAAAAGTTTAATTAACAACCATGAAGAAAATTGTCAATAATTAAATTCATTAAATTGTAAATAATCTGAGTGTACAATTCATATTTTTGAAAATTGGCATCATGATGGATGTTTGGTCATGATAAATTATACGAGTAAGCAAGTAAGGGGTCAAATAGAAGTTAAAAAACCTCTCCAAAGAATTAGAACAAGAAAAGTACATGAGCTTATATTTTGTCTTTGGCCATTTTTCAGACTTTTGGGCGTTATTCGCTTCTCTTTCCTTGCTTGAAAAAAAAAAATCATTGACTTGACCTTTCAAGGGTATAATATATAGTTACTACAAACCTGTTAAATTAATGCTTTTTAAAAGTTTTTTTTTCAGCTACGGCTCGAAAGTCGACGTTTTTTATAAACAAGGAGGTCTTACAAGATAGATGCATTGGGTACAGATAAACCCCTTTGATATTGCCAGAAAGGGGACGAAAAATTTAAAAAAAGATTCCCACAAAAATGTATATATAAACTCTGCAAGAAGTTTAAACAATCGGATGAAAAAATTTGGATATCCTTTAAACCCTCTTTACAGGTCGTGTGGAACGAACTATGACTTCGGTATTGTAGTACATTTGTTTATGTTCTGTAGAGTCTATACCAAAGAAAAAATGGCGGCTGACAGCATTATTTCTTCATGTAAATGTGTGACTAAGACGTTTCATTGATGATGACTTGAATATATACTGTCCATAACCAAAGTCTCATGTCCAATCCTCTGTTGATATGGTATGAAGAATTTTGATGCAACATTTTTCTAGCATTTGAGTACGTGTTTTTTCTTTTCACTTCCGCGTTCAGTGCATGCATGTGTTTTATTGAAAAAAAAGTTATAAGTCGTTGCATTATCGCAACAACTGCTTCTCTCGTTTAAAATAGTATACTTTTGAATACATTCCTACATTTTCATATATTTTATAATATGAATACATGTAGTATATTACTTTATTCCAAAGGCTGTATTCGTAAGAAAATTCTATCGTTTTGCTGTCTTTATATCGATTGCTAACCATATCTCTTCTTTGTTCACTAATGTTATACTTTTCTTTGTTCACTAATGTTATATTCCTTGTAATCCTCATCAAATAATTTTGAAAATGGACACTGGTGTTTTAGACTGAATTTACTTATAAAACTGGGGTCTTCTTTAGTTAAAACCATGTACAAGCTTCGACCTCAACATTCCTACCTGTCTTTCGGAGCCTTTGGTTGCTATGCCATCAACTTGCTGTTCTTCATTATTTGTTTCTGCACAAATCACTGGTGGTACTTCCGGTTGGACGGAAAAGACATTAACATGGGACTGTGGATAGGTTGCTGGCAATCTGTTGACGGAGGCTCAGAGTGTTCCAACTCGGTATTTGAGAACAAAATTTTCAAGGAAGGTGAGCTGAGATATTTTAGTCGTCAGAAAGAAACGCTCATAATTATTTATCAAAATTCACTCAAAACTGATGCCGTATAAGTTTTTTTTGTCGGGTGCCAGTAGATAGAAAAATAATTTCATTTTCATACGTTCTGATACGGAAGCCCGTTGGTGCCATGTATGAAAAATATTTTATCTGGCGGCCGCCACATATATATCTGGCGGCCGCTACTTATTATTTGGCGGCCGCCACATATATATCTGGCGGCCGCCACTTATGTATCTGGCGGCCGCCACTTAATATCTGGCGGCCGCCATTTATTATTTGGCGGCCGCCACTTATATATCTGGCGGCCGCCACATAAATTATTTTGCAAAAGGTGAGTGTTATTGGGTTAAGAAGATGGATGTTGACAAAACCGCTGCTTATTGATAAAAAAGTAAATGATAAAAAACGAATTCTGAAATATTGGAAATCCAAAATGCAAAACTTCATTTAATTCTCAACCAATCATAGCGTACAGCAAATACCATGATTTATGTCCGTGACCCTTGATGAGGCTTCTTAATAATCGAAACACTCTACAAATACTTGCATAATTCAAATCAAATATTAATCTGCTCTATGCAAAAACATATCTACAAGAAATGTGGATTGGAGTGTTGGTTCATAATAAATCTCTAACAAGTTTGGTTGATTGATGTCGCTATTATAATTTTTACACTGTATCCACCTCTTAAACCACACATTAAAACATGCGAGCGATTCAGGAAGCCAGGTGTTATTTTAAATTATCGGCCGCCAGTAGCGGCCGCCATTATATAAGTGGCGGCCGTCAGATAAATATTTGGCGGCCGCCAGTTAAATAAGTGGCGGCCGACAGATATCAATAAGTGGCGGCCGCCAATGTTATATAACGGCCGCCAGATAAATTATTTGGCGGCCGCCAGATATTATATAGCGGCCGCAAGAAAAATATGTGGCGGCCGCCAGATATTATATAGCGGCCGCCAGAAAAATATGTGGCGGCCGCCAGAAAAACTATGTGGCGGCCGCCATATATTTAGTGGCGGCCGCCAAATAATAAGTGGCGACCGCCACATAATTATGTGGCGGCCGCCAGATATACAAGTGGCGGCCGCCAAATAATAAGTGGCGGCCGCCAGATAAAATATTTTTCGTATGTGGCACCAATGGGCTTCCGTATTCTGACATGAATTGTGGTCATATATAGATCAGCCAATTGTGGGTTTATTTTTATCAGAATTATTCAATTTGAGAGTATATTGTATAAAAAATGAGATGGAAAATTTGTAGATAAAGTTATCGGTCGAACTTCCATTTCAGTTTTTTCTCGTCGCTTGTAGGCGGGGGTAGTGACTGGTACCACGGAGCAAGAATCCTCATGACATGCTCACTGATAGCCATTTTCCTCCAGGAGTTTGCGCTGATAGGATACCTGTGCATTAACGAAGTTGAGAAATACAGACAGAAGCTCGCTGGTGCTATACTAGGATTCTCAGCTGTTGTTGGTAACGATCATAACTTTATATGCATTTCATTTCATAATTTCTTTTACTATTTTCGTACTTAAATAATGATTCTCTGAAAGATTTATTTTTTTATAATAATGGAGGAAGCAAAAATATTTCTGGAGTTGTTGGGATTCTTGCCACGTGCATCACAACCTAAAGAAAACCTATTCAGATACTCCGTCATAATTATGTACTAAAAAGTACTCAGTAGCTTGATACCACCTCCCATATTTTTGTTGAATTTATAAAAAAACAATGTTTTGTTTGTAGTTTTTCTTTTGCTGCTTAATTTTATCATAATTGGAGCGGAAGTGGGCGATCTCCCGCAAGGACGAATAGGCTGGTCTTTCGGGTTGACGTTTTTATGTATTCCCTTAGAAGGTGCGATTGGTGTTGCAATATTCCTGGAAAGAAGAAATGAACAAAAAATTATTGAAAAATTAAAACCAGATGTGACAATTGAAGTTAATTCAAACATTCGCCATTCTGGACTTTCCGTTGTTAAAGATCTACCTGATCCATATCCTAGGGACGACTTATCCTACTCCTATCGCTCCTCCACGGGAAGCCTTTCTCTACATACTGGATCCTACTACCACATTCCTGGTAATCTTTCAATAGACTCTGTGTCAACTGATGTTGTGAATTATTCCGAGGAACCGGGGTCATCTAAGAGGGGACAGAAGGAGTGGGAGGTCTAATAAGATGGTTATATCCAATTTTATCCGGAGACGTTAACTTGATTAATAGTAGTCGGTTTCAATATTTCCGTACTTGCAGACACACATATACAGTCACATGTAAAATTAATGAAGCAGCATTAGGCAGATAACTGTGCAATAAATTCAAGTTTGAGACTTTATATGTTAACATCATTCAGAGAATAAAAACATATAGTCACTTGTCTCGTTTTCATCTTTCCCCTGTGGATGTTCATTTCTTCCAACTGGATAATTGCAACATCATCTCCTTCGCAAAACCTTAACATTATAACATACTCGTTAAAATATTCGAAACATCTGCTTTGAACGAATATTCGTCTGTATTTTACAGTGATGTTCACGACCCTCGTCACCGTCATAATCTCTACAGAGTCGGCCAAATTAGAGTCCGGGAATACCGGGTGGTCTCTCGATTTGGCCGTGATTTGCGTCGTAACAAGTGCTTGTTTAGTGACCCTCGTCTATCTTGAACTATACCACAGTAAAAAGGGCCACATTTGTCGTGGAATTAGACTAGATTAAAATGGTAAATAATTATATCTCTACTGATATTTCATATGCATGGTAACCATATTACAATGAATGTAGACTTGGTGGGGAATTGCTTGTGTATTTTATGGAATCCGGATAGGGCCATGCAGTTCACTATCGAGCATCGACTTAAAGGTCGATGGCGCGATAACGATGAAGTGATGGTGCGATGATGCGATAATGCGATTACGATGGTGCGATAACACGATGAAGCGATAGTGAATATCGCTTCATCGTCATCGCACCATCATCATAGCACTATCGTGGCTATCGCACCATCGCGCTATCGCTTCATCGCACTATCGCCTCATCGCTATCGCATCATCGCTTCATCGTCATCATATTATCGTGCGATAGCGATGACTCACACCTTGATGATGCGATAACGATGGCGCGATGGTATTCCATAGTATTTCTAACAAAGTTTCATAAAATTTATCAAATGCTTTCGACGGCTATTTTAAGGTTTGCTGCTATGCAACAATGCAAAATATTACGAACGTTGATGTTTTAAATTTTGCACGATTATATTTTATGGCATCTAAATGAGAAATATTATTTTCACGATATTTTCATTAATCTATCGATATGGTAATTAACTGCTATTTTATTTAATTTGCAGTACTAAATTTTGCGTTGCTTACGACATAGAATCTAATATCATTATTGTTGTTAATTGATCCAGCCAATTATTTTTCTCCGTCGAAGTATTTGCAAATGTATGAACCATTGTCATTTAACATTTCAACTAAAATACGATATAACAATTTGAGAACATGTTAGAGGTTTCCTGCATTTCGAGACAAAGTGTAACAATGGAACATGTGAGACTAGTAATCAGAGCTTATTAAAACTAACATCGTTATCATATTCCGTTATAATGGGAGTTTTATATCAACTTTTCTCGATTTTGTAAGCCGATTCAGAGGTCACTCTCTTGATTTCATGAAATTAGTTATATTTAGAGTACGAGTTTCCTATTGTATCGGAGATACAGGGCGGGGCTTGAGGCGAGAGCGATAGATCGAGCTAGGCGGGATCTTCGATACAGTAGGAAACGAGTATTTCTAAAGGACCATTTCTAAATGACTTGTGACATTCGATACAGTAGGAAACGAGTATTTCTAAAGGACCATTTCTAAATGACTTGTGACATTCGATACAGTAGGAAACGAGTATTTCTAAAGGACCATTTCTAAATGACTTGTGAAATGACCTTTGTAATATTCTCACTAATTTACATGCGTATTCGGGTACATATCTCTCGACCAATCAGATGATTTTGCATAAAGTTGATTTAGTATTCCATTTTAAGCATTCGCAACTGAAATGCCGAGTGGGGTGGACGTGCAGATATCTATCATTTCAAAATAATTATTTAGGGGACGCATTATATAATCTTGTTTTCCAAAAATTTAATCTAGATTTGATTGCATTTTTTAATTAGCTACGATTTAATGCAAAACATTTTGATATATAAGAATCATGTGGGAATATTTTTGAATCAAAAATGCTTCGAAGAGATCGTATTCTGAGAGAAATGTCTGACAATATCCTCCACCGTTTCTTATATACAAAATTGAAATAAGCGGATGAAAGGAAAGGGTGGGGGGATTTTACCTTCATGTTTTTTAATAAAATGTAGAGTAACCAAAGGGGGATCCAGCACTCACTCTTGCCCTCCATCCCACCCTCCTTTGAGTTTTTTCTTTTCCTTTTTCGCTTTCGTAAATTCACGCACATAGTGTCTTGGTTGATTATAAATCTACGCCAACGAAATACGATTTTCCATTTTTTTTTGGGGGGGGGGGGGGTCAAAGTAACCATTTGTGAACTGCTCCACTCCCACCTTTCTAAAAATTTTGAATCCGACAATAATAGCTTTACGTTGTAAAATTTTATTCTTAATTCACCTCAAAATTTGAGTAAATACTAGCAGTGCTATAATGCGAATTGAACGATTGTTGTGTCTGTATACGGATACAGCTTTCCGTCATCGTTAAAAATAAACCGTACTTTATTATGTTCCCCAAACGAAGTTGGGGAACATATTGTTTTTACTCTGTTTCTTATTATTATTATTTTTCTTCTTCTTCTTCTTCCTGGGTACTTTTTTGTCCGGAAATGATCTCATAAACTATACATCCGACTAAGGTGAAATGTTTTTAGGGTCAGTAAACATGTTATGTAGATTTGCGGAACGAAGGTCATTTTGCGCGCACGTGCTTGCAAGAGCGTGCACGTGCAACATGTGAAATGACCGATTTAATTGATATAGGCGTAACTTTTTAAATTTTTGATGAAATGCTTTGAAACTTATAATATAAGGATATATTAGAAGCATAGACAATATGACATGGTAAAAATAGCAAGATCTCACGCGCATGCAGGTGCGCTTTGCTCTGATTGGCTGAAACTAAAGTCTCAATATCTTTCTTGTTTTTTGACGAAATCCTTTGAAATTTTGAAAATAGCCATGCATTAGGATATCCTACAACATGATATATAGCAATTATCATGAAAACACGTGCATGTACGTGCGCTGCAATCTGATTGGCTGAAACTTTAAACAGCTATAGATCCCTTGGTTTTCAACCAAACGGGGTGGAATTTGGAACACAGATAGATGTAACGGACATCTACAAGAAGATATGGTTACCATGCTCATGTATACACGTGCGTGCACGTGAAATGAGCAAAATCAAAAAAACACTTGAATGAGCGTATCTTTTTAATACTTTTGGATTAAATACTTTAATATTTAGTATATCAAAATATATAGATTGTGTAGAAAAGATGATATGGTCATTACGCACATGCATTCACATGCGCACGCGCGCAATGCTAAAATCTGAATGAACTTTGTACACTTCTGGGTAAACGTTGTTAAAGTCTCAAATGCATCGAGTTTGTCTTATTTAATGAAGCTTATAGGGAATATGGCACCAAAAGGGAGTTGGGGAGGGTTTGGGGAACATCTGTAACGGTCCCCGTTACAATTAGCACTAGTTGTTGATATTTTGCAGATACAGTACAGTTTCTGCTCATTTGCATAAGAAACGCCCACTAAAAACGTTTCTGTATCGCAGTTAAGTATGCTTGACTTCAAAGGAAAACTCCCCTGGTCATGTCACAACTTACAGATATAATCTGTTGATAGGCAAAACCCTAAATATATCGACCTTAAAGAAAGCATATTAACCTAGCATGACATGCGAGGTTAATAAGCTTTTCCTCTGAAGTCGATATATCTGAGGGTTATCAAATCAAGAGGCTATATTGGTATAAAGTCAAATAAAAGTTATTTTTCTTCTTTTTTTATGATTGTTATTTTTTCCTTTCAGTTATATGCATCGTCATCGTTTTGATTATAATATCAAAGAAAGCAAGCGAAGTCGAGGGAGGGAAAACTGGTTGGTCCTATGATTTAGCTGGTGTTTGTATTTTACCAATCATCTGTTTAGTCGCCATTTTGTTTCTTGAGCGATGCTATCCCGGTGGAATTTGTTGCACCAAATTAAACTGTCCTGTGATTACAGATAATCTTTAAAAACACAAAGATTTTTTAATCAGTATATGGAACTGATTATGATATAGTTTATTAGATATATACCTGTAAAATCTGTGATAGAAGATTCCTCAATTTATCATTTTATTGTGTTCATTAAATCTACATAACTGACAAGAAATTTAAAACAAAAATATTAAACAATCATTATAAGGAATGTGCCTTGTTTTGGAGTTTATGAGTTATTAAACGACATGAAAGCACGTGATACTTTGCACAATTGGCAACTAAAATGAGCATATTGGAGCCATCGCAATGACCCATTACCTTCAAGATATAGCTTTCACGAACGATAAAGTTGTTGACCAGAAACAGATTTTTTCTAATTTTATTTATTGTCGAAGGATTTGTTGTACTTGGGAAAATAATATTTGAGTTTTTTTCTGCATTTTTATCTGCTCCTCCGTCAACCAATTCAAAATCCTTTTCGAATTTTTTCACAAGACCACTAGAACAACAACATTTTTAACTTCATATGGTTTGTCGTGTATTGGTCCTGCTCGTCTGAACGATTTTAAAGCCGTTCAGCTCACGTTTTTGAATATTGCATTTACCCCCAACAAATTTGTGGTTTCTCTTGTTGTCTTTATAAATGCGATGGGTTCAAATTACAGTTGGGCATGACAAGTTTAGAGCATAGCCAAAATAGTGTGAAGAAAGATCTTTGGGTTCTATTTTTTACTGACTTCGACAACCCTTACAATAACGTTGTTCCTAACCTTTTCAAAAACATGAATAAGAAAACTCTAATTTATATTCCACCCGTTTTTAATAGCAGTTTGTTTTAAAATAAATACTAGAAATAGAGATGGATTGGGCCCATAAAAGATTTCTGGTTTCAGTCGTAAGTTTTCTAGTAAATCAGGGACCTGCTGTTTTCGTCAATTAAAACAATACACAACGCGAGGAGAGCAAACACAAACCTCTATAAACATATTAGAGGTGGGATCAGTTTCCATGGAGGAGTAAGCCTCTCTTATCGATCGACATCATCCTCTGTGTGCACCTTGTCCTGATCAATGTCAGTCAGAATTTGACTTAATAATAGAATGTATTTGCCGACAAGGTCATTTTATCGGTTATAGAACTTGCGAAATGTTGATTTGTACCCCTTATCAAAAAAGAAATGGACTACATTTTGAAGGAGACAAAAATTTTTTTATATCCTTGATTTATCAACTTTTTTGTCAATAGAAGTAAATGTTGTTAATTGATAAACTTCCAAGTTTTCTACTTCATACGAATACAAAGATGGGTCTGCTAATGATTTTTATCTCGTAAAACGAAAGCTAAATTGGTACGTTATTAACGACTTTTTATTTATTTTTTTTCATTTGAAATATTTTTTTTAACTTGATGAAAAGTCGAATTCGTGCTTGGTATAACGGTGTCGTAACAGATTGTTGGAAAATTGATTACGACAATATTTGGAAGTGTTTTGTATCGATTCATAAACTGTATATAGATATTGCCTATTAGAAACCCAAGTATTTTTTAATATCAATTTTGGGGTACTTGATTGTGTGTACAAACAAAATGTTTTAACAAAATAATATTGCAAATGGCCATTGATGAGGTAAGTAAGTTCCATTTTCAATGAAAAGCAGCTGTATATATATGCGACGTCAAAACGCCGCCTAAATTTTAATTTGGAGTGGGGAATGGTTGTATAAAAGAACGGAGTCCTACATTTTGATGCTATCAATATGAACAAAATATTTTTTGATTTTAAATATTCTAAAAGTTCTTTGTATGGTTTCATTAATCCACAACTGATGTACACAATTTCTTGAATATTTTGTTGTACAGTACACCTAAAAAATTCCACTGCAGTGCAGTTAATATTTTAGTGATAATTAAAGAAAGCGTCTGTATAGAACATTCACTGGACCCTTGTCTTTTTGCTGTTGTTTTGATAACTTTCTTCCGTCGGCTCATGCTTCAAATGTCCGTGGAAGGATCGAACGGGGTGGGAGTCTTTTTGTCTGTATTTACTTTTAATTTTTTGCCTGTGATTTTGTGTAATTATATACATGTTTAATTTTTTTGGGGGGGTCATTTTTATATAGTGGTTAATTTACCACAGGCTTGTGCTGCCGTTCAGGTTTTAACAATTACCCACAGCTAGTACTCATTTTCTCCCTCAGTCTCGACTTTAGCATCCGCGAAATAAAAACGAACGAGTTGTTCAAAGGAATGTCAATTTCGTACTTCCGGTTGAGATAATCCCAGATTCTATTTCTGATTAAAACCTGTTGAATTTCTTGTTTTGAAGGTAAATTAACGACTAACTCATGTTTTACTCTTAACAGAAATAATATAGATGCCCTTGAATCATATTTCTTATATGAATGTCACGGAAAAGTCGCTATGCTAACAACTAAATGTTGAGAACATCTGTGTGTACTCAACAATATTTATCCAAGTTTTATGAAAGTGCAATTTTGTTTGAAAATCGTTTATTCAGATTCTAGCTATTGATAAGCATAAGATTAATAAATATAATGTTATGCTTAGGTTTCTGCAATCATTGTACATTTATGGTGTACAAGTACAACTTATATGTCCACAACAGCTTCCAAATCATGCAAATTGTCAAATGCAGTAGACTATAGTAATAACAAGTCAAAAATTATCTAATTTCCACTAACAGTTTGAAATGTTGGAATTAATCAGAATAATTTAGTTGGAAACTGTCTGAATATTACAAAAATTTGGACATTTGTGAGAAAGGAATTACTGTAAATGTATCATATTTAGTGTGTACGATATTTGGCGGAAATTGAATTTTGAACAGGTTAGTGTAGATTTGATCTCTTAAAGTCATTTTTAATGTATATATTAATGCATATATGTGCAAGACTTTGTACTTGAATTTAATATATTTGGACATTTGTTTCTCTCTGCCAAATATCATGTGTAAGATATTTGGCGGAAATTGAATTTTGAACAGGTTAGTGTAGATTTGATCTCTTAATATCATTATTAATGTATATATTAATGTATATATGTGCAAGACTTTGTTCTTGAATTTAGTGGAAGTTTCTCTCTGCCAAAATCATTAAAAAGAATACCAGGCAAACGTTTACAGTATTTCAAAGCAGAAATAGTTACAGTTACAACCCTGTATTTGTGAGATATGGGGAAATTTATATGAAAAATATGCACACTAATGAAATTATGTCCATTAAGAATTTTTGTTTCTAGCCAGCAATACATACCTGCTGTGAAGTAAAAACCAACCAATGATATTTGTTGATTGAAAGACTACTTTTATTTACATTCCAAAAATTTAATTAGCTGGTCAGCTGCCATTACAAAGTAAAGAATGAGTATTTCTGCCTCAAAATGATTAAAATTTCTACTCTCTGTTAAGTTTAAATATTTAACTCATTGTCTTCTTACTGCTTGACCATTTTTTGGTGCCAAATACTTGCTTTAGTGATTAATTTATATTAATTGCCTTTCTGCATTGAAATTTAAATGCTGCTTTCCAACTAATATATTTGGATATTATGTCAAGTTGATGAATTTTTGTATTCAGAAAATATCTATAAAGCTACTGCAAATATTTAATAAGAAAATCTTTTAAATTTAAAAAAAAAAAAGGAAGAAGAAGAAAATTAAAATAAAAACTTTAATTTGTGTTCAGAAAATACTCCACAAGAAAAATTTAATTAAAAATGTAAACAGTTGCTCCTGTAATTTATGATAAGTACATGTACTGTTAGATCCAAGTCCAGATGACATCTATAGAACCATTTACATAATTGGCATCCAAGTACATAAAATGGATCTTGTTCCAATGGAAATGCAACCCCCCCCCCTCTTTAAATAAAAATATCTGAATGACAAGTCCAGTTAAAAGGGCACAAGACCTTGAACCAAAAGGGTCAATTAAGTCCTGGTCAATCAATAATACCAGAATTCTTTTACATTATTAATTAAAAAAAAAATAAAAATAAAAACAAATATCTTTATTTTAGTGCAAATCATAGATATTAAAAGATTTTTTTGATCTAATATAAAAGAAAATATCGGCAGAAGTGATGCAATGTAGCATGACTTTAAATGACAATTTAGAAGTAAATACATGTAGTATACTTTATACACTTATTATGATATGTTTCATTTTTAAGAAGCATTTCTTCTTAGTATGTTGGATATTTTAGGAAATGCATACTTCAGGCTTTGTATGCTGTATTTAATTAAATAGTAATAACCCAAACCGCCTTGAAATGAATTGAAATTCACCATATAAAATCACTGTAGAAATCCCTCATTGGCTTAATTTGATAACTTGTTACAAATAATTGTTTAAAAAATTGTTCAATGTCAGTTAGATAAGGTTAAGGTCACTTGAAGGAAACTTTTGAAATTATTCTGGGGGTTTTACTTTCAAAATAAAATATTTAGAAACCAAGAGTTGTTTGTTAAAAGATACACAGTTATGAAAGTTTAGCTTTAGGAACATGAGACAGAGCCAGAAGAGGATGTAAATTGCAGTCTGACCTAAATATGAAAAAAGTGTTAACAAGTATGTTTTTGAAAAATGAATAATTGCTTTGTCCTCTTAGATTTAGGTTGTCCCTTGGTCTGAAAACAAGCAGTTATTAGTTTCAGAAAATCTTCTCAGAAATGTCACTGAATTCACAAATTACTGTGTATCTACCCAAGTAATTTTCATCATTATCATGATTATAGATAAATTTTTTTTATCCATTTTGTGAAATCAGGAAGATAAAAAAATCTCAAATATTTTTTTATAGAACATGAATAATAAAATAAGTTTGACATCTATCTAATGAAAAATAGATCAACACATATAGTTTTCTGTTTTAAAAGAAAAGTATTCACATTGTAAGTTTTTGATACTTGTTAAGAGATACAGACGCACTAAATTGAACCAAAATTGTAATTCCCTAGAACCTCATGAAAGAGTACACATTTAATGATTATTTCTTGAATTTAAAATTCTGTTATAAAATTAGTTGCAAATACATATAGTACATGTAGAACTACTTAGGTCATGAGGGTATTTTTCTTAATATGCAATGAATATCAAATATGAAAAATTAATACATGTATATAATATTTATTGATTTTTTGTTGTGTGAAGGGATAGGGGTAGAACTCATTTATATGCATTTTTGCAAACTTTTCTTACCATCACTTTATGTCATTAAGTGTGACACTTTTGTAACACATCTTATTATAGAATATGGGAGCAGAGAGTTTGTGCTCTGATTTGTTTGAGGGTTCAAAAGACAAGTGACTCAGGGATTCCATATCATTTTGGAGAATGGGGCCTGGGATCTTGGAATTGGGAATTTTTCAACGATTTGTCAAAGACTGGGATATTTTTTGTTCTACTGTAAAACTAAATTTCAAGAAATGAGTCAAAAGGAAGTTTATTTCCAACACAAAATCTAAAAACTGAACTATCTATGTTCTTTTGAGCAAAATAAAATGTAATTTACCTATCATTTGTTGTGATTTGAACTGATTTCCATCCCCATACTTTTGTAAGAATTTTGATCCTAATCAAATTTCAAACATAAAGTGTTGTATTAAATAATTTATAAGAAAAAAAATTAGTGGAATTTTGGAAAAAATGGAAGGTTTTGCTTTTGGGAATGGGTTGAAATTTAGCTCTACGCAGGGCAGTGACTGCTGTAAGAATTTGTCTAGAGAACTGTCTGTTAGTATTGAATTATGAACTATTAACTACATCAAGGCATTTATCAAGGGAAGTTGTTACTATGGTAATTCTCACCTGTTTGAGGCCACGCCAGTGGTATTTTATTGGTGTGTAGGCTTAAATAATTGAAGTGCTAATGAATAAGATTTGATTTTTCTTGAAGAGGTTTTAATTTCTTCACCTTTTCAAATGAAATACCAATACGTTTTGTGCCTTTAACAAGGAGATTTATTGTCAAAATTAAGGGATTAATTGAAATGTTTCATTTTCCTAGCTTGTACAAGGCAACAGCGAATGGGTCTTTCAGGAATCTGTACCTAAAGCCAGCCAAAATGTATGACATGCCAGTTAGCCTGCAGGATTGCTGCATTGACTTCATCAGTGACCACCTGCAGGATTTGTGCTATGCATCAGCAACTGAAAATCAAACAATCAAAAAGCTTTCCTTCAAAGATCCAGATATCTTCTTCCATGGAGAGCTCTCTGAGCAACTCTTGCAGACGCTTTGCGAAAAGGGAAAACTCACTGATGAGACACTCAGTCTATTTGATCCCAATGTAACAAACTTGAAAAGGGTATCCATAAGAGATGCACAGCTGTCAGCAAAAGGATTGAGGATTTTAAAAATGCATAAAATTTCAGAACTGGAAATTATTGGACTACGTACTGCCACTGTGAACGACGTGATAGGATGCCTCGGAGAATGGACCCTGTCCAATCTGAGATCTTTAAACGTGAATAACAGCACATTTGTAAACAGTACGAAATTCTGTGTGGTGGTGTCTCTATCAAAACTTCATAATCTCCAGAGTCTGAACGTCAGCAACACAGAGTTCAATAAACATGGCCTTGAGATCATTGTGGAGGATCTTCCCTGTCTGGTGAATCTGGACATCTCCAGTACTCAGATACTAGACATATCTCCTCTAAAGAAGTGCAAGGACCGCCTCAAATCCCTGTCAATGTACAATCTAGTGGCCTCTAACCAGGATGATGTGGTTCCTGTCTTGTGTGAACTGACTAAGTTGGTACATTTGGATGTTTCAGAGGATTCCTCCATGCAGCCTTTTGTCAATGTCAACTCTGGCAAGTTTGCCATTATTAACCTCCTTCTACGACCTCGATGCCTTCCAAATCTTACTTCCTTGGATATATCAGGCAAAGATGGTGCCAATGAAGATGTTCTCAGGTATATCTCACGTTTATGTTTTTTGATTCAAATTGACATTTTAGCTCACCTGAACTATAAACTCAGGTGGCCTTTTTCTTTTTTTGCAAACTACGGTATGCACCTTGCAGGCTTGCGATGGGGATGCAAAATTACCGTGGTAATAAAAACGAATACTTTTACGTAATACTTTGAATGCCCTTCACTTTTAGGGAATATGTAAATTGCCACAGTAAGCTGAACTTCCTAGGACTGGCTTTGACAGAGTACTGTGAATATTCAATGTTCACCAATGACCAGAGTCCAGACTTCAAGGGAACTATAACAGTAAGTCACCATTTAGTAATGGATTTGGAAGATAAACTAGAAATCAAACACATGTATGCATATTGATTTTATAAATGTAAGGTATGTATAAATTTTAATAATACACTTTTCACGATTTGACAAACAGGTTACTGGAGAAGCGGATGAGAGACAGATCATGGAGGCTCTGAGACGTTATGTTAGTCGCTGTGTGTATGTCCAGAAGTCACTCTACACATTGTTCCGTCTGACACAGGTCATGCTAAAACCCCGAGAGGATATTATTAAGGTTGCGATTTCATTCTTTAAACATAATTTTTTTTTATCATTTAAAAAATAGAAAATTGCATTAGATGTAATACAGGCATTATGCCTGTCTTGTATGGTTGTTTATGAAAAGAAATATTATACTGAGGTTTGTACGTACTATGTACAAACCTACAGTATTAGCTGATGCTCTTACTACTGTAATTTCATTAATATTGAGGCCATCATAAGAAATGCTTTTGTCAAAAATACAAACACTGGTGATCTGTAAATTTTGGAAAGCTACCCCATCCTGCCCTGTTATCATCTAAATTTGTAATTCGCTGAAAATATGTATGTTAAATGTTGTCTGGATTTTGCACAAAAACAAGTTATTTTTGTTAAATAAAAAAATATGAAATTACAGTTTATCTATTCATCCAGAAACCCTTATTATTGTTGTTTCATTATTTCTATTTCATATTGTAGTTGGTACTGCCAGCCATGAAAAGCCACCCCAAACAGCTGGGGGTACAGATGGCAGCCACAGCCTGTCTGTACAACCTGTCTAAGGGGGAGGTGGGGGCCAAGGTCCACCCAGCATGCCTGACCCAGATAGTCAATCTGACTTTGTTAGCCATGGAGAACTTCCCCAACCATCAACAGGTACGTAACTCAAACACAAGCTCTCAGTTTGTAAGATTCATTGCTGTAGACACAGTAGAAGTTTGCCTATCTGCATACAGTATATAGAATGATATTTCTCCAACTGATCAAGTTTCCTATTAATGTTTTCAGTTACAGAAGAATGCACTGTTGACGTTATGTAGTGACAGGATTTTAAATGATGTCGTAAGTAATTTTTGCGATTCACTTTTTGACATCAAATGTTTTGAATCTTCACATTTAAAACTTTTTAAAGGCTTATTATTTTTTTGAATTTCAGACATTTGACCGATTCCGCTGTGCCAAGCTTGTGATGGAATGTCTTTGTCAGTTTCATGACCCCTCAATGAACAGAATGTCTGTGGCAATCTGCTCCATATTGGCTGCAAAGGTTAGATCGAAAACCCTCTCTCTCTCTAGTTAATCCTATACTATCTACACCTAAAACCTTGTGCTCACTTGGCTCAATAGTGTTGTGATCAAAGTCAAATTCAAACAAAGAGCGATTTTTTGCATAAAGTAAATAGATTTTAGTCGGGAGGAATATTTTCTTCACATTAACATGCATGTAAAATGTTTATTACTCATTATTACTGTATACAGGGTTATTTTCACCCCGCTTTATTTTCGCCCTTTCACACTTGCAAACAATTTTGCCCTGTTTTAAATTCGCCCAGTCACAGTTTTGTTTAAGAAATTATACTGTATTCTTTGAATTCGCCCCTTTTTTAAATTCGCCCAATCAAGGTAAGTGCGAAATGGGCGAAAATAAAACTGCATACAGTATGTGCTGTAAATAAATTTTTAACATGTGTTCATAATTCCATGAAATCACAAAAATTTCTCTTCCATCCAAGGTAAAAAAAAAAATTACTAGGTACACATATTTTTTGTTTACTAAGTACACAGATTTTTTGTTTGCTTTTGAAATATATGAAATGAAATTTAAGTATTCTGCAACAAATTTCCATGGAAAACCTGTGAGTGACCTCACATATAAAGTAAATAAATCCCACATGGGGAAAAACTTTGTATGATTAGTAAATATCTGATGCATTGATAAATATGATGAGTATGTCTTACACAAATTAATTCATCTTATTATCACCTTGATATAATAAGGACCTCTTTGGCTCTGTATTGGACAATCCTCAGTGTACCAGTATACAGTATCTGCAGAATGGGAAGGGGATTTTCCTCTTTTCTCCCGTTGGTCAAAGAGCTCTGAAGCCTGTGTTTATGCCAAATGTATTTGTTTTCAACTTAATTAAAATAAAATTTACCACTTCTACTCTTTAAAGTAGGTGTAAATTATTTGTTAAAGAATTACAGTAAAACTCGGTTATAGCGAAGTCCTTGGGACCTGTTAATTTAATTCGCTATATCCGTAATTCGTTATATCCGTATAAGAAATTCGTATAACCATTATAGCGAATTCGCAATATGCATGTTTTCCTTCAGGTATTTCTACCATATGTGTGAGGGAAGCAAATATTACAAACATATCTTCGATAACTAAGGTTTTATTTTGAATTGAATTTTATATACAAATGATAAAAGGAAATAAAAGTCAGTTCAATTTACCGATTTTTTTTATAATCTTGGAAAGTTCGTCATAAAAGATGTAAATTTCATTATATTTTACCTCAACGGGACTCAAAATCAGTTCGCTATATCCGTAAATTCGTTATATCAGAGTTCGTTATAACCGTAAAATTTTGCAAAGATTTGTTAAGAATTTTGCCGGGGATCCAGAAAAACCTCGCTATATCCGTGAATTCGCTATATCCGTGTTCGTACTAAACGAGTTTTACTGTATCATTTATGTTTATCTAACAGAATAGAATATGAAGGGTATCTTGTACTTTCCAAGTTCTGTGAGTGATATTCTCAAGTGACAAGTCTGTGTGGGTGGGTTGATATTAATTTGGAAATAATTAATTGATATATTTATTGATATTGCAGATATCGACAGACCAGACATCTCAACTTGGGGCTAAGCCTCGTTACATGAGGAAGATGTTACAACTTGTAAAATCTAAAGTTGAGTCTAATGCCATAGACATCACGCTTAAATTTACACTCAGTGCCCTCTGGAATTTGACTGGTAAGGCTAGGATTAATTAAAACTGGACGAGTTTATCTAGGATAATATGTTTAAATTATTGTAAAAATTAAAGTGTTATATTGTTTTAAAAACAAAGTTCTATGGTAGTGTTAGCTAAAAGGCTCCCTGGGAGTGGGGGGGGTGAACTAGTGGATTAACCCTTTATCTTGGTCAGTAGAAGGGGCCGGGATGGGGGAATTCATTAACTTTATATGGAGGTATCTTCAGCAGAATGTAGTGAAAAGCCGATTTGCCTCTGGTCGTGATTGAATGTCAATACATGAACATGTTGGTTGTAGAATTATAGGTTTTTGTTTTAATAAGAATTGTGATTTTTATAGATGAATCCCCAGCAACTTGCCATGTGTTTCTACATGAGGGTGGTCTAGATTTATTCATGACAATACTACAGGTAAGAATAAAACCTTACATGGTCTTCTAATATTCTCTGAAACAGCATACTGTGGAAACATAAAAATTTGTAATCCTGTATTATTGTATCATGGAGAATGTTAGGTACTCACAAAAATTAAGCCTCCACAAAATCTTTTAATTCCACAGTATTTCTCTATTAAAACTTGGTAACACAACAGATAAAGAATTGCTTTTTATGTGACAAACATAATATGTGAAAAGTGAAGCAATATTTTTCCAACATCCTATAGACTGTGTCCACAATGGAGGAAGATGTGAGAACACAAGTTGAAACAAAGATACTGGGACTTCTGGTAAGTTGTGATTCATGGAGAACATAACTGTTCAATTTATTTTTAAAAGACATTATTCTCTACTGAGAGCAATATTAGAAATGGCACCCCCTTCTTCCTAAAAATAAAATATGATTTCATCTAAGATTAAAATGATTTTATAGATTTAAAAAATTTCCAACCCTTGCATAATATTAGATATTGTCTGATAATAACACGATTATAACAGGTAAACAATGAACCTGACAAGTGAGATTTTTTTTTGTAGAACAACATAGCAGAAGTGCCTAAGTTACGGGACTACTTGATGAGGGATGACTTCCTGATGCTGAGTAAACAGTTACTGAGGGCCTCACAGATTGATGTCAGTTATTTCGCTGCCGGAATCATATCACATCTGGCAAGCGAAAGCATTCAAAAATGGCTGGTAGTATCTACCAAAGAGGAAATTCTGAAAGAATTGGCAAGTTCTCATGATGATTTAGAGTTGAAATTTTGGGTCTGAACATTGCATATTGATTTTTAGACTTCATATACATTTATTTAGGTATATCGTACAAATACAGTGTATTTATGTTGAATTTCTGTCTGCAGAGGGAGGTAGTCTTGGAGTGGGAACAACCTGATGGTGAAATGGTGGCTTACAGGTATATACATGTACACATACTTGATATTCAGGCATGCAGAAAACTGTACCTTTACAAAAACTAAACAAGTACCTCTAATTTTGTTATGCGTTTACAGGTCTTTTAATCCATTCATTCCCCTACTGAGGTGTTATGACTGCCCAGCTGTACAGTTATGGGCTGCCTGGGCAATTCAACATGTCTGTACTAAAAACAGTAAGTCAGTTTAAACAGAAAACCTTCATTACTTGTATTGAAATATTTCATTGTTAGACTTATTATATATTTATAATTTATGTAATAAACTGCTTTTATTAAGATACATGTTTCTCCAATAAAATCCATGTAAAAATTAAGAAGAAGGAGAACTTTGATAGAAGTGAAAGAGGTAAGAGAAGAAAAATATACACTCATCTGATATGTTCTTAGGCAGCAGATATTGTCCCATGCTTGAAAAAGAGGGAGGTTCAGAGATACTCATGGAACTTATTAACAATCCAGAAACTGACCACAATGTGTCCAGTATAGCACAGAAAATCTTAGCTTTTGGAAAAGGTCCATCTGTTCAGAAGGTACCTCGTGATGATCAGATGTCAGACCCAGTGCCCTGCCCAGCGGCAGAAAACTAAAACATTGACAGAATTTGTATGGGTTGTTTTTTTTTTTGTTGTTGAGGGATTGTGGTGCTAAAGCTTTATCTTTGATTTTGTGCGAAGAGATGTTGGGGCATTTCTTATATGTCTTACCATAAAATCCCTATTAACTGCCCCTGCCCCTATAAGCACCCCCTAGGCCTTTCTCAAAGGTTGGGAAATAAGGGCTTCCTGTACTGTGATTTAAAATATCCAGAATCGTATCAAAGGTCTGCCATAAATTGAAGGAAATGAAAATGGAACTTGGTTGTTCGGTAAATTGTACAAAGTCTTCATGGAAGATTCTTAGAAGGACCTAATCATGTATTTCTAGAAGTGAAAGTTTCTTACAATTTGTTTTCCTTGTGTATTCTCCAATTTTTGGGGTGGATAAATAAATCATAGAGCATAATATAGATGGATAATTTAATGATAAAGGAAAGATAAACAAATACTTAGTGGTTTCCTAAATTTGATTTTTTGTTTCAAAAGCTTTCTTGTTAAAATCTGACATTAAATATTATAAGGAGAATACCGAAATAACCATCCCCTTTTTGCAGTTTTCTAACTGGGGCAGCTATTAATAGGGATTTTATGGTCATAAAAATGCAGGAAAACTGCTAAAAAAAAATAATAATACATGGTGATCTTTTACACCTTTCTCAATGTATTATTTTCAAATATGTTTCAAAACACACTCTGAATTTTAACATTATTTATTAACTCAGTCTCCATTGCTCGGACAAGTAAGATTCCACTCATAGAAAAGATTTTCCTTGTTACTCTCGTCCCTGTTGTTATTGGTTGTCATTTGTTAACGAGTATTAACAATTATCATTTAACATTGTTTTTTGCATAAAGCAAACCCATTTATTTTATTGTGCAACTGTTTGTGTATTTGGTAGTGCTGTAATGCTTCCATGAAATTGTTGAATTTTTTTTCTCCCATTGATGAAAGTGCTTCAATTCTGTTCAAAAAAATTTATTTATACTCTTCTATTTTAAAATCAAAAAGCAATAAATTAATCTGTATGATCATACATGTACATTTATTTTATTTACGGTAAATGCTCTGAAATTTATTACTGTGAATATTGTGATAAAATATGGAAGTTTCATTTTGTTTTGAATAACTGAATGTGCTTTTCACTCTCAGAGTATATTGTTTATTATGTGTATTTGTTACATGTATGAATTGTTTTGCAACAATTTATATGTTGCCACCCATAATGACTTAAGTGACAGTTGTTTATTCCCCCTTATTTCTCAGTATTACCTAAACTTACATTTATTGCAGAAAGTTAAGTATCTGTCAGTACATGTATCAGCAAAGCTTAATCCTTCACTCGATGTCAATATTGTTGAATCTCCAAATAATGTAATGGTCAGTGCTTTATATACATATATACATGTGGTATATACATGTATATATGCTCATAGTAAGGCATCGATTAATCTGTCTTTAACATTATTAAAATTATTGTAAAACACTCTTCCTAATTAAAAGCATAAACATGTAGATTTATTTTACTGATATGCTGATCAGTGGATACATTGTATCCAATACGATTTGTAAGATGCCGTCATGTTACCACTAGCTGTAATTTTGAGCCACTTTTTTTTCAAATTTATCAGATTCTGGTGGTTTGAGACAATCTAGACTGGAATTCAGTTTATTGGTTGTTATTTCTGTGTGTTGAAAGTCTTGCTGTTTTTCCTTTGTTTTTGAAATGTTGTTAAAATGTACACTATATTCATCATCATTTAATAAAATCTTTGGAAAACAAATTTTCAGTTATTTTAAGTTACCATATATGATGTGAAAAAGTCAGTGTCAAATTATATACAACTTCATATTTTTGATATTTTATCTGCTTAGCAGGTAGTCCATAGCTAAACACAATCCAATAAGTTACCTACATGTGTACATATATCTGTCCAATAAGTTAAGAAGTCTTATTCAGAGGCATTTTATGAATATTCAAATACCAGTTTGCACTTAACTTTCATTTTCTGATAGCCTCTTTCTGATCAAAGAACAATGGTGTAAACTTTTTCCTCTTCAGATTCATCTGTAGAAACCTTTACAGACTCTACTGTTTCACTTGTTGTCCCCCCGCTTTCGCGAAAGCGAGGGGACATTAAATCTCATTCATCTGTCTGTCTGTCACAAAAACTTTAACCCTGGTCATATCTTTTGAATGAAAAGACAGGACTTTCATATTTATTTCCTAAAACACTATGATTTTTTACCCTGTGACCTTGACGTTTGACCTATTTAAAAAAAATTTAAACGTTACTTTGAATAGGCCACAACTTTTGAATGAGAAGAAATAAGGCTTTCATATTCAAGATGTGTATTACATGTGACAAGATCTTCCTTATTACACTAAACAAACAAAAATATAGTTTTAGCATTTCCTCAAAATTTAATTCAGAGGTATATAGCAATACCTTGCATAAAAAGATCCTTTATAATAATTTTTAAATTACTTAAATATAAAAGAGTTTAAAACCACTTAGTGTATGTCCTCACTGGAGATCAAGTTTTAAATAGGACATGTAAACCCCAAACTACAAAAAAAAAAAAAACTGGTATCGGTCCTATACTGGCCTTTATGTTCTTTCTCTTGTAGGAGAATTTTGCTTAAACAATATTACTAGTAAAGAATAAATAAGAAAAATAAAATGGTCTTTCACAGCTGAAAATCTTTATTCCATTAATTGTCAGATGCAGTAATATGACAAGATTAATTTGATTAACTAATTGACTCTATATAAACTATTCAAACGAAATGTATTTACAAATAAAAAAGAGAGCTTTTGCTGCTGTTAAGCTAACATGATGTTGGTATCTAGGATCAGAAATTACTGTCCAGCATATTTAAAGTAATATTTTCATGACAATAATTTACATTCTACACTTAGTGTATTTCATAAGGTACATGCATTGAATAAAACAAATGTGTACATGTAGCATGCATACAAATATAAATATCTCAACAGCATAAGAAATGCATGTTCTTTAAACAATTCTTATGATAGATTAATGTAAAAACATTCTTCACAAGCTTTTCAAAGACATTCTTACATAAAAAAATCCATACTTGCAGGGGGAAAAAAAGCACATATACCTTGGTAAATTTGCTGTATCTGATATGCATTTTTTTTGTGACTGAGTGACTAGTAAAGTCTGTACAATATATGGAAATGTGACCAAACCTGAGAAGCCTTCTTATGACTGACAGCAAATTGATGTGCATATATACTAAATTTTATCATGAAGGGTTGTACAATCACTCAAATGTATTCACACATGATAAAAAGTCTTAAAATAACCTATCCTTATATTGTGATCCTGAGTCAAAATAAAAATTTATAAGAAATAAAAATAATCCACTCTGAATACACAACAAAAGTAAATACAGGTAATAATAAGGTGAACATGTTTGATATACGTGTATATAATATTTAGTCAATTTAACATGCAATAATACATCCTCTTTCAAGAATTCTTATATACAAGGGGGGTTAGCAAGCATTGATTACGTTTTCAAATGGACAAGGACTTAAGTATATTGGAATGTTGATGTTCATTGAGCACAATTTCAAAAATCTCCTTCACACTGTCATGATTAAGCTAGTGTATGTGTTCTATTTATCTTTAATGTGTGCCAATAAATGTAAACATATTGAATCATACATTATGAAACTATGCAAAAGAAAGAACTCAAGTTCAATGTTGGAAGAAATAATATTTACACAGCAGTGATGTCAAAAACTTAATTTGTTATAGATCTACTATCAGAGATAAGTAATTTATGTTCTACCACTCTCATATCCAGGGAAGAATTTTTTCAGGATGTCCTGTAGTGTGCTGTTAACCGGCATTTTGAATTCTTTTCCTAGATCAGTGCGGCACAATGGACAACAGTATACATCTGCCTTGAATGACCTCATTATGCAAGACTGCAAAGAAACAGTTTAAGCACATTAGTTTTCACCCTATGTCAAAAAAAAAACTATCTATTATTTTCTTTAAGAAAATTCATCAAATAAGGAAATCTTGTATGGTACCTTGCAAACATTATGACCGCATTCTGTTGTAACTGGTTTGAAAACAATCTCTTGACAACAAATACATGTAAACAGCTCTTCAACTTTCTGCAGGAATTTCTAGAGGAAAAGCACAAAAGCATCAAAACAAAGTATACTTAACTAACCAGTATTGTACATAGTACACGTTCCTTACATAGTTCACTTGCTCATCTGTTTCATTGCATTTCTAAATCTATTGAAAGTGAACACCCCTACATCTAAATATAGCTGAATTATTCATATACAGCTAAATTACCTGTCCGCCTTCTGACGTGTGCTCCACAGCCTCATCCCACAGCTTCCTGTTGACGTCGTCCTGGGATATCCTCTTCTTCTGCTCGGCATCAATCTTATAGGCTGCCACCTTCTGCTTCTTCTCTGGGGATCCACTAGGAGAAGAGTCTGCCAAGAAAACAAAATGAACTCAAAAGCACAGTCACAATTACAAAGCAACTCTTCACCTGCAAAATGAGTTCAAGTGGCAAACACAGTAATGTAAATTTTTGTACTAAATTCTGTAAATGTACTGTGTTCTCAGGATCAAAATTCCATGGAATAAACAATTCTAGTTCAGTTTGCAGCTAGAAAATTGGAACTCTTGAATCATCTTTGTATTTCTAAATGGTACTAGAAGTGTGTTAGGTGTGTTTTCTCTGGAAAATTTGTTCTTATGTACATACATGTAGCATACATGCACTTTTAATCCCCTGCAGGAAAAAAATTGCCTATAGTACACATTTTTTTCAAAACTAGCAGTCAGTTTAAATTCTTAAGAATATTTTTGATTGTTGGATGATATAGTGAAACTCATTTAGTATGAACACGGATATTACAAAATCAGATATAGCAAAGTTTATTTTGATCCTCAACTGTATAAATTTTACAAATTCTTTATTCTGATATAGCGAAGTAATTTCACAGGTCCCAGTGACTGCATTATAACTGAGTTTTACTGTACAAATGTTTTTCTTCTTACCTGAGTCTTTCCTTTTCCTCTTTCCTTTCTTTGCAGGTTTTTCCTTTTCTTTATTTTCCTCCTCCTTCTTTGCTTGAGATTCAAGGTATCCATCTGGATACTGAAATTTACAAATTTACACTAAGTAATAGCGAACTGGAAACTGAAATGTACAGATTTACATAAAGTAATAACAATCTGAATATTGAAATGTGCAAATTTACATACAGGAAAAAAAATGCTTTTTTAAGAGCTAAATGGCAACCAAATTACACGCAGAATGAAATAATTGCTATAGTTTGATTTGCATAAATTTCAGAAAATGCGAATCTAGAAATATATTTACAAAGTTGTATGTTAAGTTCTCAAGTTTGCCATAGTACAGGAATAGAAACCATCCCAAATATCAAGACATACACGAAGAATGTGTTCTCTCTCTGACAGTACATTGACAGTTCCAAAGAGAAAACTTTGGCACATTTCGTGTTTAGTGTTTAGCTTGCTCACCTGCATTTCTAGCCCTAACTCCTTGATCCGCTTGGCTCCAGCTTTAGTCCAGGGAGCGGGGGTTGGGTCATCCCGTCTCATCAGATACCTCCACACCAGAAACCCCGACTTTCCTTTCTCTGGCCAGTACTTCACTACCTGTGTTACACAGAGCAATTTTATCCTTCTGCATAAAAATATTTTTATTTATGAAATTTATCAAAGCTTTATATGTTTAAGCTGTCAATAGCTGTTCAAATTCAATTTGAATTAGTAATGGATGATGTATCACAGCTTTCCTCATGCCTTAGACCCTTTCATATCAATTCTTTTTTAACATTGAACTTTTTTGAAGTTTTAACACACTACAATTTAAATACTGAGTAAAAATGTTTTTTTCCCTTACTTAATAAACATAGGTAATCACCTTGAAGAAAATAATTTGCAGTATTACTTCTATAACCTTGTTTGGATAAAATCTAAGTTTTTGTTTACCTTGTAAATACCATCATATCTGTTGCCTTCTTCTGGGGCATAGTCTGAGTGCTTCCTCCCCTTACAATTACGTACTACCCTCAGTGGCTTCCCTCCTTTCCAGTCTTTCGCCTCTGCTCCTTTCTCATTGATAGGTGCATTACAAATCTTGGCCAAAGCCCTGGAAATGTGGAAGAATTTCCAAAATTGTGGAGATACTTTATACTGTGGTCAAGATTTTTTTTCTAAAAATACATGTAATTCTAATAATGAAAATGAAACATAGCTGAAAAGGGTTTATTTTGAAGGTGTTTGAGATTAAAGGGGACAAAAACTCTCTGAAAAATAATACAATTAAAACACTTTTAGCAAAATTCTATCCTAGAGGAAAATCACAAATGTTCCATATCCAGTCAATTTGTCTGAGGCTGAGTGGACCTAAGGGAAATAAATTATACAGCAAACAAAGACTTTAAAAAGAGAGGCTATCTTTGACCTTGACCCTTGACCTAGAAACTTTGTTCAAGGACACTGCACATTCACTGACCAAAGGCACTTTGTGAGTGAAGTATGAGCAACATTGGACTAATAGGAGAGAAAATATGCTCCGAACAAGTATTTTCATATAATTTTGCTATGACCTTAACCTTTGACCTAGAAACATGGTTCTCACATCCTTTACCCAAAGGCACTTCCTGTGTATGCTCCATAAAAGAATTTAAACAAAAAAGCATTTTTGACCTAACTGCACACCCTTTAAAAAAAAGTTTGAGCCAGATTCAGATGTACTTTTCATCATCAAATATACAACATTCAGTTTTTAAAATATTATTTACAGTACATGTATTACAACACCGGTTCAAAGGCACTCCAAGGGTGAAGTATGAGCCAGATTGGGCCAAGGAGAGAGAAGATATGCTCTGGACAAGTGATCTTGGCTGGATAGCCTCCTGAGAGCATCAATAGGGCGCCCGCCGAGTAAGCCTTCCTAAGCAAAATCTCCATCACGGCCATGGATGCCAGCCACATCTGGTCCACTTCCTGTGTAATAGAATTCATCACCATTGTCCTAAAAGAAAACTTCAGATGTACTTTTCATCATCAAATATACAATATTCTGTTTTGAGAATTGAAAATAAATAACAAAGCCTCCTGAGAGCACGATGGAGTAGGCCCCCTCTCCATCACGGCCATGGATTCCAGCCACATGGGGTCTGTGAACACCTGCCTCACTTACCTACAATGAGGTAAATAACAAATAATAGGCTCATTTTAATACTGTCAACACAAGATGCAAACAAAAACTTCTTGAAAAGTAATTTTTGATATTTATCATATTTTTTTTTCTGAAAATTCCCATGTGAAATGTCATTGGATTTCTGCAATAGCAAGAAAATATATCTACACCACCATCAGAAGGACTTCAGAAAATAAAAGGAAGTATATTGATTTTTTTTGGGGGGGGGGGCATTTTCTGTGATAAAAAATTGCAACATTTTGGAATCTTTTGTAAGAAAATGTGTTGTAAAAATATGTTTAAATATGTTTAGAAAATGTGATTTTTCCCAATCATATTAAGGAATTCTTCACAACACATTCCATAAAATAAATATAGATGTACATAAGGAATGGAATGCTACATACCTGAACCCTGAATTTCCACATTGTTCCTACTTCCACACCAGGAATGGGACCAAAATGATTTGGAGGGACCACATTGCACACTTTTTGTCTACCAACACATGCCATTCCCTGGAAATAAGAAAGCATCATTAACGAAGTGGAGAACTTGTTACAAAACTTTACACAGTTAAGGGCTCTCATTTTATCCATATATTAAACATTGTGTTCTGAATTAAACTTGGATCTAAGCTTCCAAAACAAGACATTGCTCACTAGTAATACCCCGGCTCTAATGTGAATATACAATATCATGTTAATAAACGTTACGGGTATATGCATGCATAAAGGAATTTGACATCAGATTCAACTAAAAATTAATCACACCATACTGTATGCCTCAACAAAGAATGTACTTAAATTTCAAGCATCTGCTCTGAGTAGTTGCTGAGAAAACTGCGACGAAAATTTGTTAATTTATGAAATGGACAGATGCACTAACAAACAGGAAGTTGATATCAGATTTGAACAAAAATTAATCCAATCATATAGCATGCCTCATGAAAGAGTGTGCTAAAAATGTCAAGCATCTGTGATGAGTAGTTGCTGAGAAAACTATGACAAAAATTTGTTATGTATGAAACATGTATGAAATAGACAGACACACTGACAAACAGGAAGTTGACATCGGATTTAAAATGAATCCCACAATAAGGCATGCCTCAGAGAAAATTATATTAAAATTTCAAGCATCTGCAATGAGTAGTTGCTGAGAAAACTGCAACAACTAGAACTGTCCAATAGGAAGTTAACTGGGTTTTTCAGAGAATGTGCCAATTCAAAAATACTTTATGGATCTAGAGGTGTTCACAATTTACTTACAAAAATTTGCAGTGAAATATAATTGCTCATCATGTTTCTTAATGAATGAAACAAAGTGCAACCAAATGAAACATCAATACTAATACATTGTAATTCCATTGTAACATTATTTTTTTTATTTAATTTTTTTATTTCTGCATTAAAAAAATATATTGCAATTATGTGTTATGTCACTCTGCAAACTGATTGTTAAAAAAAAAAAAAATCATATTATACAAAATCAAATTAATCTTGATAACTTTATATCAAATTCATTTGAAAATAAAGATTCATCCAGTAATGAAGTGTGTGAAATAAGAGAAGAGAGATCTTTATTCTTGTGCCTGATTCCCAGGAGATTACACATGGTTGATAATGAGATGCCTTAATGTTCAACTTCCCACACCAAACTCATTAATTTATCTTTAACTGGATTCATGTCCAGTCATTATTCCCAAGAGACAAATGAAATTACATTATCTTCTGTGCAATGTAAAAACTGTTTTTAGCACTTGATGATGTTTTTTTTAAAAGTTTATATGAGTAGTTTTAAGCTGTAGTATTTTTGTACAGATATTCTAGATTCTATGTCTCAAACCTTATACATGAGCCCAAAATGAACAATTAAATTAAAATAAAAAATAAAACCTGTAAAATGCAAAAAAAATCAACAAAAAGAGTTGAAAATTCCAATTGCACACCTTCATATGGTGAATAATTAGTGTACAAATTTTCAGATTAATCCTTGCAATAGTTTCTGAGAAACACAAAACCACAAAATAAAAATGAAAAAACACCTGTAAAATTCAAAATAATAATCGAATCAAGATGAAAATATCAGGTGCACAACTTCATATGGTGAATAATATTTGTACAAATTTTCAGACAAATCCTTCCAATAGTTTCTGAGTAATGGTCCGGAAAAATCTCGTCTATAGACAGACGGACAGACGGACATGGTGATTCCAATATACCCCCCCTAAACTTCGTTTGCGGGGGGTATAAAAATTTATGTGTAAATCGGACAGACGCAGCGGGGCATAAAAATTGTCTAGTATTTTTAGACAAATTTATGCAGTAGTCTCAAGAACATGTCCTGACAAAATCACGTTTACAGATGGACACACAGACAGACATGCTGATTCCTACATACCCCTGTAAACTTCATTTGTAAGGGTTATAATAACCTTTAACCTTTAATCTACACAGCAAAGAAGTTTTTCGAAAAGGTTTTGAATTGGATAAAATGCTGATATTCTTCAACAGAAATACATTACCCTTCCCCAGTCTCTGCTTGTCTGATTGGTAGAGGAGGCCATTTTGGATTTTTTCTTGCTTTCCTTTAATTTTTCTCCAGCTTTCACAATTTCATTTTCATCATTTTTACAACTTGGACAATACCTGCAATGACAAAGCTTAACACTAAATACTTGATTTTCTCTTTCTTGTAGTATATCATGCTATTAAAATATTATTTATAATAAAATGCATGCAACTTCAGGCTTCTAACACAGTCACTGTTGGCTGAAATTTGAATTTTCAACTCCGAGTAAGGGAAAATCATAATGAAAGTTATCTCTCTTATATGAGGGATAATTAACCTAGAATCAAAATGAATTCCATACAAGTTATACTTTTTTTTATATACAACTGAACTTCATTATCTATAAAACCTTCTTAAATTCAAGGGATATTTGGAGAGAATTCACTGTCCAAAATACTTTGTTTTTTACACTTATTATTTTGAACCATCAGATATCTCAAAGCTTTACATTGGTCCCATCGATTTCAAGATAATAGTTTGACTGTAATTATATGGTTAATACCACAAGCTTTGTAACAGAAAAGGCTATGACATCTAGTTCATATTCTTACCATTCGTCTTCCTCTGGTAGTTTATCCAGGGGTGGATCCAGACATTGGAGGTGGTAGGCCTGGTCACACTCATCACACAGAATCTGTTTATCTGGGTCATGCTTCCCTCCACAGACAGAGCAAGCACAATGTTTACATTTCCTTTTTGGGTTATCTTTACAGAAATCACAGTCAGGCTTGTTAGTTCCTGAAAAGAAATCATTTAATTATTCAATTATTTGTTTGCATCATATTACTTTTACTTCCCCCTCCACCAAAAAGTTCAAAATCCTATTTCTCTGCCTTGTTTCTGATAGACTGACAACTAATAAATAATGCTTTTTAACTGTTCCATAAATCCAGATTCTATTTTGAGAATGACAACATAAATTTGTGTAAATTTATGGATAAAGTTATATACGATCTTCGATACATATAAGATCTTCTACACTATAACTGACAACTCTTTATATACTTTTTACAGGTGAAGCTGATGGATCAAATGTTTCATCAAACTCGTTAATCTGTGTTCCAGGTTTCTCTATGTCAAATACTTCATTGGTGAATAGCAGCTTACATTCATCCAGAGGCATCAGATCTGGTCTGTAAAGCAGTTAACAATAACATTAGAACCGAACTTAAAATTTCAGAACAAAGTAAGATCCACAAGCGATTGGAACATATTTCATTGTAATTTAATTACAAAGGGATTGGGCACATTTCTGAAAACTTATAAAGCCCTCTCCCTAAATACAAGTAATCAGAACATAAAAAGAGCTCCTGAAAAATAGTCATTACAATTAGGTTTGTACTCTCTAAAGACAGCCCCCGACTCACCCAATGAAGACAGTAGCTGTTAGTTCTTTAATTGTTCTTGTGTCCCTTTTCCCTGTGATGATGCAGTCGTACCAGAACCCCCGTAAATCTGGGTCATCCACATTGTAATTGGCCATCACTTTTTGTCCCTCCTTAATGTCTGATAACTTTATAACCTTTCTGGCTCTTGGGCGTATATCCTTACACTCCAGCTTTTCTGGTTCTGTATCATCATAACTGTTAATAGAGCATTAGGAGTTTGACAACATTGCTTATCAATTACCATGCTAAAATCAAAACCTAATATCAATTTGATAATATTTACCCATCAAAAACAACACTATAGATATAACCATCATGTTCCACAGGACTACTGTCTTTCGAATCCACGTCCATATGCTCCTCCGAATCTTTCTTGGGTGGATCAAACTTTTCATCCTTGTTTATGTTTACAAGCTTAGCCTCAAACCAGGCTCCAACTGAAGTATCTCTAGCATCTATGATATCACCGAGCTAGAACACAATAACAGTCAAACCTTGTTATCTAATAATGGATAGGAATGCTATTATACTTATAGATGCTGGAGGAGGTTAAAAACATTTTTAAAAGTGATTGGGACTTGCAGATCACTTTGAAATATATCTTGCATTCAAGATAATGAAGCTCAACTGTACCGTCAGGTGCTGTATTTCATCTATCAACAGCTGTCTAATTCCACATTAAAAAGAATTTAATTTATTACCAAGTAAAATCAGAAAAATTACCTTGTAGGTGCTGTTAGCATATTCCTCTTTTGTTGAAGTTTCTGCTTTGTTGATTGTCCCCTTCACTGGAGTTGAAGGCTAAAAATCAAATTATAACATGAATGGAAAATAATATTTCAATCAGATAATGCTTGATGCAATATTGTACTAAAACTCTACAAAGGTAGGTAGTGACATGTTCTTTCAAAGATTTTCACTCAAATAACCATGATTGTATCTTGCAAATAAGTAAATAAATGTATAGGAATCCCTTACAGAATCCCAAAGTGAGCCGTGGGTACCGGTCCTTCAACTGAGACCATATTAACAAAGGTTCTGTGTCGAAACACCCCTCGGAGCTCCCTGCTCAATGGACATAAGTGCAGAGTACAGGATAAAATTTTCAGCTCTCCACCAAGTGGTGAAGTCTCCAATCTCCATTTGAGTGAAAAATTCTCAAGAGGGAGGTTAAACAACAAACAATCTTATAGCGAAATGGATTTGATAATTAGAGATACCAGTTTGTTTTCTTTGTCCTTGTTTTCCTTATCAGAACAGGTGCTCTCCTCCCCACTGCTGTTATATCCATCTGTCGGCTTCTTCTCTTCCTCCTCTATCTGATTCTGTTGAACTTTGTTTTCACCAAGAGGTGCAGCCCTAACCATCAACTGGACAAGGTCATTCAGTCCTACACTGTAGTCAAAGAGGGAGTGTCCATCTTCCAGCTTAAAAGAAAAGCAATTTGGATACAACTATTCAAGTTTTCCCAGCAAAAAATAAAACATATTTCAACATACTTTAAAATTTTAATTCTTTATTTGCATTTAGCGAGTATATTTCCTTTAAATTTCAACCTGTTGGCTATTCTTAAATTGAAGATTTTTATAGCATTCATTCCCTTTATATATACAGTATTTCTATATATTTATAACTTTGACACTTATTTTGACCATCAAAGTAGCTCAGTCTGTAGAGCATTTTCTTTAAATAATGGTAAGGTGCAACTAGCACCATGTCCACCAGTTAGTTTCATGCTGATTCTGAATGCTACAATGACCATGTGATTAAGGAAATCTGGGGGATATAACTAGCAACTGTCACTTAAGAAAGACAGATGATCACAATTTCAACACTCAGGGTTAGTAATGTGCAAATCCAACGTATTTCATAAATTATAGCCTACCGTATATACTCGCCTATAAGTCGGTCCGCCTATAAGTCGGTTGTATTTTTTGACGTTATTTTGGTGGGATTTGCTATTGACCCGCTTATAAGTCGGTACAATTTTTTGCCAAAACCTGGTGACAGTTTCAAGTAAATCCATTGAGATTTTACCCTGGTTTCAATTAATATTTTTCGAAATGACACTGTAATCTTAAATTATTAAACAAAAACGCAATGCTCACTTAAAATATAAATAAAATTATTAAAATATGTAAATACTTGTACTTTAAATATATAATCCAAAAATACATATATTATCTTATATATCCTGATATTTTCTTTGATAATCGTCGGAAATGCAAATAAGATACTACCTTTTAGCCTCCAGAAAAATACCAATCTCTTTATGACTCGCCTATAAGTCGGACATAGAGTTTTAGACCAATATTTAACTCCCAAAATACCGACTTATAGGCGAGTATATACGGTAACCATGTTTGCTCTGTTTAACAGTTTACTCAAAACCAGAATAAAACATCAAATTTCACATTCCTGAGAGTTATCTCCCACTGTCGGTATAAAGCTCCTTTTTCCCACTTTGTCTTTTTGTAAGTTATCTGTAAACATTTTTAATCTTCATACATTACCGGACAATTTCAATCTGTACCTGTATTGCCAGAGTATGGGGCAACATGAAAAACATTGAACATATTCATACAGATTTTATTTCTAAGATACTGACCCATAAAGTTGGTAAGGTTATAGAGGAAAAACAGTGTCTTGCGCCAGTTGACCCTGCATTGACCCCACAAAGGGGAATAACTTTTCAAATGTGAAAGTGGTCTATAGGCCTAGGTGGCAACTGTTCCCTCCCAAAGGGCTCAGCACTTTTAAGTGAAAGTTATGTGTCATCTGAATGAGACTAGGGCTCTGTGCATTTTTTTTTTCATTTTTCTTAGGTAAAGCTTTGTTTACCAGTTGTGCATTGGCCCCTCCCTATTGCTACACCTACATATCTATATTTTGGTATAAATTCTCGGCATATTAATGATTGTGATGATTGATGTTGCTGACTTATGATCTAATTTACAATTGAAAATGAAGTACCTGTTTTCCTCTATAAAACAAACGTTGTTTCTCAACAGGAGCCTCAAATTCCTCAACTAAACGTGATCTTAATTCTTCAATCTTTGTCAACTTTGACAAATTATCTACACGTAACGACTTTTTCCCATCAAAGCTTCTAACTTGAATCCACATTGTCCCTTTGAACTCTTCTTCAGTCTTTTGATTTTCTTGCAAAAAATAAACAAACGCCTTCGTAAGCACCTTGTGGCGGGAACTACTAACAATTTCGCGCGAAATATCGGGTGCTTAGGTAATTGTATATGAACATTTTCGAGGAGTTCCGATTTTACACAGGAAGTCAGAAGCCCTACTTTCGTTTTACCTTGACCTTTCTTATTGTTAGAATGGATTACTCGTCTTGTTAGGGTATTAGCTCAACCTTTGCCCTAACGATAACAAGCAACCGGCTCAGTTTTTATACAGTTATGGCTTTTGGCGTGGATCTGTCTCTAAAAAATGCGCTAATTATTGCTGTCCCTCTGTTTATTTCGTGGGCAAAGTATAGAGGTTTGGAATATATTATAAAACACTACCGATGGGTTTTTGTGTGCCTTTTTTTAATGCCAATATCTGTTGTTTACGATGTGTTCATGTTCATCAGAAATTGGATTGTTTTTAAACTTAATTCTGCACCAAAACAGCACGTGAACAAAGTAAAATATGTGCAGCAACAGGTATGTATCATCAGAAACATAAAATTTGTTATCATGGTTATGTCTTGGATCAGTGAATCAGTTAATTACATGGTTAGTCAGTAACTGGATATATTAAATGGGCTTAATTAGAAATTAGGTATATAAAATAATTGTTAAACCATTTATTTAGCTAAATGCAATCATTTTACAATTTTAATTAAGTTATCCTGTGTATCAAAGTATTGATGCATATTATATAAGACCATTATATAATCAGATGATGTAGATCGAGTTTCTTGTCAATTTACAATGTTGTCAAGCTAGGCAATTTTCAGAGGTATCACACATGATATCAAGAAGCAGTATTGATGAGTACTCCACTGGTGAAGAACTCGGATATTGTTAAGGAAAAAGTACTGGGGTCATCACCATTTACAATTTGTCAACTTTCGAGTAAAGCAATATTCACAGCATCATAGATGATATTCTTTCTTTTTAATAGAAATTTCCATAGAAAATCCATCATTTGCCTCACAAGAGTTTGATGCCCGTTGATCAAACAGTTGGTACATATCTCACCGTTTGAATCCTGAGTCTGTGTTCCTATTTGGCACCTTTTGCCTTGATTTGATGTTCATGCTCCAAGTTACAAAATTCTCAGAGTAGACCTATTTCCTAGTAATGACAATTAAAAAAGCCTGATCTGGGCTAATCTTGCATTTGATCATACATCTAGGAGGGTTATTGCAAAGTTATAGTTTTCAAAACAGGTTCCATCCCTAGAAACTAGATGCTTTACCTTACACCTAATTGCATGAAACAAGCAATTAGGGATGCCTTTATGACATCTCTCTTTAAATGCTTGATTCATATTCTAGTTTTCAGATTGTTTCTCAAATACTGTAGTGTGTTTAGACGAGTTTTACAACTTTTTATAATGTCTTTATAAGATACCCTGGTATATATCACATTTTGTTTTCAACCACTTTCACAAATCTTTACACATTTTACACCAAACTGCAGAAGGCATTTTGGTGAGCACTTCTTTTGTTCTTTTGATTGATTCTGTGTATGTATTCACTTAAAAAATTTTTTTCCATGTAGGAATACTAATAGGCAGCTTTTATTATACTATTTTGTAAAAGAATAAATGGGATTTAAATTATGTCTTTTGCCTATACATTATTTTGAAATAACATAAGGAGATGGATTTCATCAAAAGGTCTAAATTTTCCCGATTATATCAGCATGATCAGATTGATTTGGTAGGCTAGAAAATGTCTCTGATGTAAGGATAATATTGATTTAATTAAGGTTAAGCAATGGAACAAAGATGGAAGGAAAACCAAGATGTGCACTGCCCGTCCTGGGTGGGCAACGGTCAGTTTCCGGAGAGGGCTGTACAAGAAACAGCTGAGGAACATTGAGGTCAACATGATTGACATCCTGGAAATAGACGAGACGATGAGAACCGTGCGGGTGGAGCCACTGGTGACGATGGGACAGGTCACATCATTTCTCAACCCCCTGGGGTGGACTCTACCTGTATTACCAGAACTGGATGATCTCACAGTGGGTCTGTAAAATCAGACAATAGAAACACATGAAAACAAAGCTAATGAAGTATATTTTAAGATGTATTTGGTTTAGTTTAACACTATTTCCAACTCGCAGTATGTTCAATAGTTTCTTGAAACAAAAATTCCGAAACTTCCATCAACACATGTACCAAATCAGGAAGCATACATATATTTTCTACATGTTTTATTTAACTATATTTGCTCTCTTCTTAACAGGTGGTCTGATAATGGGGGTGGGTATAGAGACCTCCTCCCACAAACACGGGCTGTTCCAGCATTGCTGCGTGTCCTACGAACTGGTGCTGGCTGATGGGAGTGTGGTGACATGCTCCGAGGTACGCAGATGTTAGTATGGCCAGGCTCAAAGGGATCATTCTTTATATTTAAACAAAATGTACATTTACCATTGTTAATTTTTACACTCCTTATGAAAATACTCTGAATATGGTTATATATACCTCAGATTGCAAAACAATCTGCTATCTTTAAAATAATTAAGAGTCTCAGGTGTTTATCATTGTGTCGCTCCCTAATTCATTTGAACATGTCAATAACTTCACCAAAAAAATAAACCCCACTGCTAGATAAAAATTAATCTATATCCCACCATTCTTAAATCATGGTCTTTTTGGCTGGATTTTATACGTATCTGTAACGTATTATATTGTACACTACTTAGATTTTGTACCAGATTAGTAAATATTGTTTCTGAATAAGAAGATGTTTCTGTGTTTTGCAACTGGTGATAAAAAAAGCATTTTAAGTAATATGACAACTGTGTATTTCACCACAGGAGGGGAAAATGATATTTAAGATATTAAAGAGCCCCAGATGTTTCCTTTCTAGATAATGCCAATCCCTTATTGATCCAAACTTGGCAAATTGCTTTTCAGGAGCATTATCAAAGAAAATATATTACATTTTTATGAATAAAATATTTTTCACTTTAAAATTTGCAAGATTTTTTAAAATTCACATTTCAGACTGAGAATCCAGATTTATTTTATGCTGTACCTTGGTCCTATGGCACACTAGGCTTTCTAGTGTCTGCTGAAATCAAAATCATTCCATCCAAGAAGTACGTAAAGATGGAGTACTTCCCAGTTCACTCCAAGGCAGACATGGTGGAGAAGTTCCGGGAGCAGACTATGCTGAAAGAAAACAACGAGTTTGTGGAGACGTTGGCGTACTCTCTAGATAAAGCGGTGGTGATGACTGGAAATCTCACAGACGATGCAGAACCCGACAAAGTGATTCAATCTCATATATTACATGTATATTCTGAGGATGTTATAAAATTCATAAAGTCTGGGTAGAATTTAAATTATATTGTCAAACAGAGCAGAGAGCAATAATGAAACCTACAAATATGATGTATTTTTATTCTTCTATGAATAATTAATTCACAGAATTATATTTGAGGGCTAGTGAAAAAGCATTGTCATTAAATTTTTTTTGGAGAGAAAATTCATTTTTTAAAAACTTTTCTGAAGAAACATAGTAAGAAATGAAATATTTGTGAATTTAAAAACTCTTAATATGTAGATAAACCCTATTGGACACTTTTGGAAGCCCTGGTTCTTTAAACATGTGGAGGGATTTTTAACCACAGGACCAGCTGTAGAATATATTCCCATCAGACATTACTACCATAGACACACCAGGAGTATATTCTGGGAACTACAGGTGAATATAGATACTAGTGTCAAGCAGTATTCAACTTACCTAAAAATATTTCTTTTGTTAGAGTACCGGTACTTGCCATGCATACAGTCTAATAAGTTCAACATTTATGATTCAGGACATAATTCCATTTGGAAACAACCCCATCTTCAGATATTTGTTTGGTTGGGCTGTTCCTCCCAAAATCTCACTGTTGAAACTAACCCAAGGGGAGACAACCAAAAAACTCTACGAGAAGTACCAGATTATTCAGGATATGCTGGTTCCCCTCGACAAATTACAGGAAGCCATGGAAGTGTTTGAAAAGGAAATTAAGGTACAGTGCATATTTCTAAGTAGAGAGGCACTTTCTCTTAATAGATTTGGAGGATGGTCATCAAATCTATAGGAAGAATTATAATTTGAAAGTTTGCTTTTGATATGATAGTCAGTACCCTAAATTTGATTTTATGAAGTCATTTTTGTGTTAATTTAATACCGTAAATCTGGAAATTTTTACGTCGATTTTATTTTTCGAATTCGGGTCAAAATGCTGTTGATTAATTTTTAGGTTTCAAAATTTTGCGAATGACCATAGTAATGTTTACATTTTCTTTTGGTAATTTATTTTTAAGAAAAATATTTTTGCGAATGTAATGAACATGCAAATTTGCTAAAAATTTATCTACAGCAAAAATTTCAAGATTTACGGTATTATGCTTTCATACCTCATAAGATATGTCATATACTTTCAATGAGAATAAAAAGATGTCTTTTGCCCATTTGAATGAATGATGTATTGTATAAAATATGTTAATTTTACATTTTTTCCCAGATGTACCCCCTTTGGCTTTGTCCATTCATGTTGTATGACCAACCTGGCATGGTGCATCCAGCTAAGAAAGGGAATCAGATGTATGTTGACATTGGGGCTTACGGTTCCCCAAAATCCAACTCGTGGGAAGCTGTAAAGACAACTAGAGCTTTGGAGAGCTATGTCATCAAAGCGGGAGGGTGGGTGATGTACAATCTTCTTAGATTGAAAGTAAACTTCCATGATTTGTAGAACATAAATCATTTACCGACTTTAAAGTGCAAAGCTGGAACTTTGCTTCAATAATTATATGCCACCTGAGTCTTTCAGTTGACTTATTGTTATGGGTAAATTGTTAAAATTTTGTCGCACTGATTTCTGAATTTTTAATGACCACAACCTATTTTTGTGTTTTTCTTTATTATCTCCCCTTACAAAGGGACTTGGCCCTTCATTTTAAGAATTTAAACTTCCCTTTACCCAAGGATGCTTTGTACCAAGTTTGGTTAAATTTGGCCCAGTGGTTCTCGAGAAGAGCATCTGAGTTGCAATGGTCACAGAAACTCATGATACTCATGTCTCTGTCAAGGTTCTTTTTAGAAAAAAGAATATTTTCAGTTGAGCCTGTGTGTACTTCTTTAAAACATAGTGTAAAAATCTTGATAAAATGATATTACATGTGTATGTAACTGTTCAGGTTTCAGATGCTGTATGCTGACAGCTACCTAACCCGAGAGGATTTCCGGAAGATGTTTGATCACTCTCTGTATGATAAAATGAGGCAGGAACTGGGCTGTGAAGAGGCATTCCCAGAGGTTTACGACAAAGTGAACAGAAAAGTGCGAGATTAAATCACTGAGGAACAAGAAATTCATGCAGAGCTACCAATCAAATGCATTTTCTCTCATTTTAGATTTTATTCTTTACATTGACTTTTTTTTTTTTCATTTAAATATTATTGTGAAACATTGATAATTTTAAGTTTTCATTTTAAATTATGTCTATGGAATTTAGAATTTTCAGTCAATAAGCTAAACTGTTAAGTTTAAATCATTAAGTTTCTAGGAAGGAAAATGTGTCACTTCAATCAATATCTGTATGTGAACATCAAAAGTACATGTATTGCCAAAATCAAAGTGAATATTGCTATATGTTTTTAAGAGCCAGTTTGTATAAAACTCATGAAAATATGAAATTTACCCTATTTACTTACAAGACTTGAATGACAAGAGATGATTTTGAAATTTGACAGAGTATATTTAAACATGATAAACATCCATTGCTAATTTATTGCATGTCTTATTTTAGCTTTAAGAACATTTTAAAACTGTTCATACAAATGTATATATGGATCATTCCCAAAGAAATTATGTGCACCATCATTGGTATATTTTTCTTTGGATTTAATAAAATTGCATCCTTGATGTACCAGATATATATAAATCATCTCTTTGACAAGTCACTCAAAAATGTCTCAGATATTTTCAGTGAGGTTACAAACTTTTATACAGGGATAATTTATTAACTATATACATATATTATACACAAAATGCATCCATAATTAATAAGATACTTGTGATAATGTTGTGCTTAGCTTATACATGATTATTTTACATCGATTATTATTTTTACTTAGATTATGTGTAATGTCTCATTGTTATTACATGTATTTGTTTTGATCTGAATAAAATACCCGGTATTTACAGAAGACCAGTATACATAATTTCACAGTTCTTATTTCAGTCATTATTCTCTCAGATACTGTAAACCAACTTTTATTTGCATGCGAGAAATTTTTTGTGAGGTTCGTGAGAGCCTCGATCGTCATCGCGAATATTTCTCATTGTGAACTGTCCTTATAGTCTCTGTGTCCATTAACAACAGAACAAAAACGGTTTGATTACGAAAATTAATTGTTGCAAACTACATGTAGTTTACCCTCAGTAAATCACGAAATAAAGTTGTCGCAAATAAAAGTTGGTGTACAGTTTCTATATAACATTATAGCTGTATATAGCTTAATGCATTTATTACAGTCAAGTGATTTTGTCACTGAATCCGTTTACATCTGTCATATAGTAAAGCATTGCACTTTGGGAGGAACAAATTGTCACTGTATTGAATGATTAACAACTCATTAACGCTACTTTTCACCTCAGTCACAGGTGTGCATTACAGTTACTAGTATATTGTATCAATAATGAGATTGGCAATTACAACTCATTACCCCTATCTGAACACACCTGTCTGCAAGTTACATGTATATATCTTAAGTATGCATGACACAGAGCAAGTTTTATTAATAAATATAGATCATTTGCCATGTAGTCAAAGCACAATGTACAATTAATAGGTATGGATTCTTTTCAATATACAATTCATATGGCCTCTAGTCAAATTTTACTACATGTATAAAAAGAATCAGGTGAGTGCCATAATTTCTATTGAGAAATCCCCCAGTGCAGGTTTTACCATTGATGGTTATAAAATTTTGAAGAACAAGTATTTCGTCTTTATACTTGGGTAATGTACACCTATAAAATCCTGGCCAATGGTAGAGGTATTGCAGCAGTACAAATGAAAGAGCCCTATGGGCCACAATGCTCACAAGAACGACCTGTTATTCACTAAATTTTCCACCTTGTCATACCGTTTAAGTGGAAATTTTAGCAAAACGCAAATTTAGCGATTTGTCCATAAAATTATTTTATTTTTAGCGAGAAGTAAAATTAGAGATTTTGAAATGCTCACTAAAGAAACTATTACAACTAAAACACAATCCATTTTAGCGGTATTCAATTTAAGCGATCTCGGCACCCTCATTAATAATGCCAAAATTAAATCCTCCCTAAAAATTCTGCTTATATGGTACTTGTCATTGTGGCCTCCCCCAGTAATTTGAAAATTCTTCAAAACCCAGAGAGCTTCCATACGGTACTTGTTATTGTGGCCCCACCTACTGTAAATCACTAATTTTTGGTTTCAATATAACTTTGCACACAAGAAGCCTACACTAAGATACATAATTTTAATTATCGGCTTTTGATTTTGATAGTCATTGTTTTAAATTGCTACTTCCAACAGGGTCAAAATTTTAACGAATTGTGGTTATTGCTCTATATAATCTTAAGGAATACTATTATACGCGAGAATTAAAATTTCGCGAGCACACTGTCTCGCGTAATTACACGAAAATAAAGTTCTCGCAAATAAAAAGTGATTTACAGTATATAACCCCCAGTGGTCATGATTTGAATAATTTAGAATCTTCAAAACCCAGAGAGTGCGCTTCCTCTGATTGGCGCTTAGTTTCAATATCTTTCTTGTTTTTTGATAAAATCCTTTGAAATTTTGAACATCGTCATATATTAGGAGATCACAGATATATAAGAATTATGTGATAGTAATGCGTCCATTATCCATCCATCTGTCTGTCTGTAAACAATTTTTTGAAATGCTACTCCTCCTATAGTTTTGGTCTGATTTAATGTAACTATGCACACAAGTAGACTACACTAAGGTACATTATTCTGTGTATAGGTTTTTGAATTCGATGAGCGGTGTTGCTGTGGTTACTAAAAATAGAAATTTCTATGAAAAACATTCAAAATGCTACTCCTCTTACAGTTTTGTTCTGATTTCAATATAACTTAATTGGCACACAAGTAGACTACACTAAGATACATAATTCTGTTTATCAGTTTTGATTTCGATGAATAATGTTGCCATGGTAACTAAAAATATAAATTTCTGTGAAATACATTTAAAATGCTACTCCTCCTACAGTTTTAGTCTGATTATAATAATTACTTTGGCATGCAAGTAGACTACATTGAGATACATAATTATCAGTTTTGTGTTTTTGATTTTGATGATTGATGTTGCCATGGTAACTAAAATTGAAAATTCTATAAAATTTTACTAAAAGCTACTCCAGTTGTAGTCTTATTGCAATCTTGCCACAGAAAGAGATCAGTTAATCAAGGATCATTATTCTTTTTATTGCTTTTATAAAGTTTGTCCCAACTGCTACTCTTCTCTTTATATAAGTACAAACCAGTAGAGCTACAGTCTTGACAGAGACTTCTGGTTTGTTCTTTTTTTGCACAGTGTTCTTGAAAATTTTTCTATTTTTCAATGAAAACTTTGATCACCACAAAAGGCCCCACCCTATCGGCAGGGGTCATGATTTGAACAAAATTTATTCTACACTATTAAGTTTCATCATTTCAGGGCGACGAAGTGATTCACGAGAAGACATCTCCCTTTGAAAGTGTTGGTAGTCCTTCAGTTGAATAAATCTTGATTTTACCCAAGGATAATTTATAAACCATGTTTGGTTTTGATTAGCCAAGTGTCTCTCGAGATAAAACTGTGAAAAGAATGCAATGACCAGATATGAACAAATTTTGATCAGAAAAGTGCACTTAAGACTTCAGCTCAGGTGAGCTAAATACAAGAGGCCCGTGGCCACATCACTCACCTGAGTAATGGACTTCCTATTGCCCCCCTCCTTTCCCCGGGGGTCATGATTTGTACAATCGAGAATCTACACAATCCCAAGATGCTTCATTATAAGCTTCAGCTTTTCTGGCCCTGTGGTTCTTCAGTTTTTTTAGCTCACCTGAGCCAAAGGCTCAGGTGAGCTTTTCTGATCACATTTTATTAAAAGCGTCCGTCCAGTCTGTCTGTCTTATTGCAATCTTGCCACTGTAAACTTTTCACATTTTCGACTTCTTCTCATGCCAATTTTGACCAAACTAGGTACAAAGCATTCTTAGGTGAAGGGGAATTTAAATTGTTAAAATGAAGGGCCAAGTCCCCTCACAAGGGGAGATAATCAAGAAAAGACAAAAATAGGGTGGGGTCATTAAAAATCTTCTTCTCAAGAAGCACTGGGCCAGAAAAGCTGAAACTTATGTTGAAGCATCCTAGGGTAGTGTAGATTCTAAATTGTCAAAATCATGACCCCCGGGGGTGGGCGGGGCCACAATGATGAATCAAAGTTTTACATAGAAATATGTAGGAAAAATCTTTGAAAATCTTTTGGAAGCATCCTGGGGAAGTGCAGATTCTAAATTGTTCAAATCATGACCCCCGGGGGGTTGGGCAGGGCCACAATGGGGAATCAAAGTTTCACATAGAAATATATGGGAAAAATCTTTGAAAATCTTCTTCACAAGGACCATTGGGCCAGAAAAGCTGAAATTTATGTGGAAGCATCCTGGGGTAGTGTAGATTCTAAATTATACAAATCATGACCTCCGGGGGTTACAGGGCCACAATGGGGAATAAAGTTTTATAGAAATATATGGAAAAATTTGATTAAGAACCACTTGGCCAGAAAAGCTGAAACTTATGTGGAAGCATCCTAGGGTAGTGTAGATTCTAAATTGTTCTAACCATGACCCCCGGGGTAAGGCGTGGCCACAATGGGGAATCAAAGTTTTTCATGGCCACATCAAAGCATCCTATGGTAGTGTAGATTTCAAATTGTCTAAATTATGATCAGTGGGGTAGGGTGGGGCCACAATATGTATTGCAAGGGGGAAATGTGGTAAAGAACGGAATGGTGAGAGCTTCTCAGGTGAGCGATGTGGCCCATGGGCCTCTTGTTTTTTTCAATGTAAAACTTGAATTTCTAAGTGTGGCCCCACCCTACTTCCGAGGGTCATGATGTCAACAATTAAGAATCAACACCTTACCCCAGCATGCTTCCACATCAGCTTTTCTGGCCCAGTGGTACTTGGGAAGAAGATTTTGAAGTTTTTTCCTATACATTTCAATGTTCAATTCCCTATTGTAGTCCCACTCTACCCCCGCGGGTCATGATTTGAAGAATTTAGAATCTAAACTACCTCAGGATGCTTTCACGTAAGTTTCAGCTTTTCGGAAACAGTGGTTCTTGAGAAGAAGAATTTTAAAGATTTTCCTTATATATTCAATTTAAAAATTGGATTCCGTATCGGGGCCCTGTAGGACAGTGTCCTACCCCCGTGGGCCATGATTTTAACAATTTAGAATTTACAATACCTCAGGATACTCCCATATAAGTTTTAGCTTTTCTGGCCTAAGTGGTCAATCTTGAGAATGTCTATATCTTTTTGTAAAATTTATATTCCCTATTGTGGCCCCACCCTTTTTCTGGGGTAATGTTTTGAATAATTTAAAATCTACACTACTTCAGAATGCTTCCTCATAAGTTTTGGCTTTTCTGGCCCACTGGCTCCTGAGAAGATTTTTTAATGACCCAACCCTATTTTTATCTTTTCTTGGTTATCCTCATTTTGGTATGTACCAAGTTTGGTTAAAATTGGCCCAGTGGTTCTTGAAAAGAAGTTGAAAATGTGAAAAGTTTACAGATGGATGGACAATGGTTGATCAGAAAAGCTCATGAGATGAAAGCTCAGTGAGCGAAACAAGAGGCCCATGGGCCACATCACTCAACTAAGCACACAGGCAAGGTAAAGAAACAAATCAGTTCAGTATTGAAAAGTTTGTTTTTTTTGTTTTTTTTATGCCCCCTTTGAAGAAGGGAGGGCATATTGCTTTGCTGCTGTCTGTCGGTCGGTCTGTCCGTCCACTTAGTTTCCGTTCATTTTCTTTGCAACCGTTGCACATACTGAAATGAAATTTGGTATACAGATACATGTATATCACATGAATATCTAGGTCAAGTTCTGTTTTTGTTACGATCGCACCATTTTTGACAGAGTTATGCCCCTTGGACTTAGAAAAATTTCAATTATTTGCAGTTTCATGTCATTTTCTTCGCAACCGTTGCACATACTGAAATGAAATTTAGCGAACAAATTTATCAGATACATGTAAATATTTTGGGTACAATCATGCCATTTTTGACAGAGTTATGCCCTTTTGGACTTAAAAAAATTCCAATTTGGGGGAGGGTGCATTGTTTTTGTTTTGTTTGTTTGTTTGTTTGTTTTGTTTGTTTTTTTTTTTTTTTGGGGGGGGGGGGGGTTGTGGCCCAACCCTACCCAAGGGGTCATAATTGAATATATACCACCTGAGGATGATTCTTCATGAGTTTCATCTTTCCTGGCCCTGTTTTTTCTATATATTTCTATGTAAATCTTCGATGGTCCATTGTGGTCCAACTCTATCCCTGGTGGTCATGATTTGAACAACTTGAATCTAAACTACTTGAAGATAATAACACTTGATTTTCACCTTTCATGGCCCAGTAATTTTTGAGAAGATTTTTTAAAAAATGCCATTTATTTTTCACTAATTCATAATTATCTCCCCTAGGACGAGGGTGACTCTTCATTCAATAAACTTGAATCTCCCTTACCTAAGGATACTTTGTGGTAGGTTTAGATGAAATTGACCCAGTGGTTCTTGAGATGAAAATGTGAAAAGTTTACAACAACGACAATGACATACGACAAACAACAGACAAATTTTGATCAGAAAAGCTAACTTGAGCCTTCAGCTTAGTTGAGCTAAAAAGATAGTAAACTTCCATCAGAAATTAAGTCATCTCTGTATCAAATATCAATCTGATTAAAATCGGATCTTTGGTATGCTCTGAAATTCTGATGGTCTGTGTATAGCGACCATAAGAATTTTGGAGTGTAACAAAGATCTCATTTTCATCAGAATGTATCAAATATCTATTTGCCTACCTGATACTTATTTGAGTATTTGAAAATAATTTCCAAAAACAAAATTATTGGTTGATATGAAATCAATTTTGTACAAATATTTAGGAATTCGAGGAAAAGTTTGGGAAAAGTTCATGGACACTGAAGAAGTCTGTAAATGTTTTGTCTCACCCACTCACCCAGCTAAAAATAAGAAATTACTGCAAGGGTGAAAAATATTTATTCCAATACACAAAAATGTATGTGAACCTTAAATGCATCATAAAACTTCACATGTGAACAAGTCAAACATACAAAAACATATATACAACTGAAAAGTTGAGAGAAGCAGGCTTGGAGCCCGTGGGTTGGCGGAATCAAAGCATGTAAATATAAGGACAACACAAATATATTGGCTTGTGTGATAATTTTATGCATTTCGGCGTTTATGCAAATTATCACACAAGCCAACATTGATCACTTCATGTAATGTTATTAATTAATACAAGTAATGTATTTACATTATATGTTTTAAACATGAAAGATAAAATTGTACACTTAAAATGCCCAACTGATCTAGATTGGAATAGGTATGACTGAAACAACTGTCAGATTTAAACAAAAGCACCATTACAATCCATTCAAACCAGGCAGACTCTAGAATAAGTTGCTGTTTACTAGATGATATGACTCACATACTTGCTGTACCATGTGCCCTGTTTCTGCCTGCACCCCACACAAAGGCATGGCTTGGCTGAGGAGGACAATCAACGTTAAAGAAAAAATCTCCACAAAGATAACAACATACAATACAATAGCCTTTTGGCACTTCTATGCAGCAAATTTACTGTTCTTCACCTTTGAGAAAGATTTAAAGGATTTTCCACATCTTTATTTTTAATTCAAATAAAAGTTAGGTAGCTCACTGAACTCAAAAACAAAACTTGTTGGATGTCAAAATCATATACAAAACTGTAGTGTTCCTAACCATTTACCAGTAATGTTGTATTATTACCCATTCAATAACAATTTACAAATGAAAATGAATAGAGTTTAAGAATTTATCCCCTCCAAGTATTGGATTAACAAAGATACAAAGCATGCAATTAATATAGGAATCTTTAATCCAATGTTTCCTGGTCATGGAAGCACAAAAACTAAAATGATAATGAACAATGATTTTAGCAAAAAATTTGGGATATAAATGACTTTACATTTTTCAGAAAAATTATAATTCTAGATAATTCAAAAACAAAAGCACCATATATAAATTTCATGAATAAATATTGTTCTTAAAATTTTAATTTTTAATTTGTGAAATCAGTGGCTTCATATTTCCATATATTTTTATATAAATACTGCAGTTTAAAAACGATTAGATATATGATTGTTCGTGTGATGTTTTATTTTGCTTATAGGCATGTAATTGGAGTGCTTCTTCAATTAAATATTGGTTCACAACACACTGCAATGTGCACAAAAACAAAAGATGCTGAATTGATTATGAGTAATAGTAGATTGTATAATGTCTATGAAAGTTTTCCATTCAATTTGATTTTGATCTTAAAAACCACTTTTTGCAATTGCCAATTGTGAAAAACTTGTGTTTTGATATACAATAACATTTACAATATATAGATTGTTACTCTGAAAATTTCCTCCAATAGTCAGGTATTAATACTAGTGCTTTGATTTGGTTAAAAAAAATATTTACTTGTTAGTTTCAGGACGCCAACTGCAATGCTAATGTATCATCTTTTTTGGCTCCGTGACCAATTAATTAAGGGCAAACACAGGAACAGATTTAAATTCACTGACATGTTATTAATTTTAAAAAAGTTTAGCACTCACATAATAAAAATATTCTTTTTTCAGTTTTGTTATTTTAAAAAATTACACCAATGGAACTGAGTTTATAATATATATGTACTAGTTCTAACATTTATTATACCAGCATGTATTGATAAACCAATTATTGCTATAGCACTTGTTTAAAGAAAACTAGAACTGTTCAAACGGGACAAAATACCCCCCGCTGGGTTTTTCAGAAGTAAGTTTTTCCATAATAAAGATATGTATCAAAAACAAATTATGAAATTTTTATTCCAGTGACCTTGAACTTCCCCAAATAACCTTGGGTCAAGGTCATGACACACCCTTGGGTCATGGGCAATCTTTCAGTGAAATGAGAACCTACCAAGTTTATCCATAAGAAAGATATGGACTGGACATGAATTATGAAATTTTTCTTCCAGTGACCTTGAACTTCCCCAAATGACCTTGGGTCAAGGTCATGACACACCCTTGGATCATGGGCAATCTTTGTGTGAAATAAAAACTACCAAGTTTATCCATAGGAAAGATATGGACTGGACACGAATTATGAAATTTTTCTACCAGTGACCTTGAACTTCCCAAAATGACCTCGGGTCAAGGTCATGACACACCCTTGGATCATGGGCAATCTTTGTGTGAAATGAGAAACTACCAAGTTTATGCATAAGAAAGATATGGACCGAACACGAATTATGAAATTTTTCTACCAGTGACCTTGAACTTCCCCGAATGACCTTGGGTCAAGGTCATGACACACCCTTGGATCATGGGCAATCTTTGTGTGAAATGAGAACCTACCAAGTTTGTCCATAAGAAAGATATGGACCGGATACAAATTATGAACTTTTTCTTCCAGTGACCTTGAACTTCCCAAAATGACCTTGGGTCAAGGTCATGACACACCCTTGGGTCATGGGCAATCTTTGTGTGAAATGAGAACGTACCAAGTTTATCCATAAAAAAGATATGGACCGGACAGGGAATATAAAAATTTTTCTTCCAGTGACCTTGAACTTTCCCAAATGACCTTGGGTCAAGGTCATGACACACCCTTGGGTCATGGGCAATCTTTGTGTGAAATGAGAACCTACCAAGTTTATCTATAAAAGATATGTATCAAACATGATTTATGAAAATTTTCTTCCAGTGACCTTGAACTTTCCCAAATGACCTTGGGTCAAGGTCATGACACACCCTAATGTCATGGGCAATCTTTGTGTGTAATGAGAACCTACCAAGTTTATCCATAAGAAAGATATGGACCGGACACGAATTATGAAATTTTTCTTCCAGTGACCTTGAACTTCCCCAAATGACCTTGGGTCAAGGTCATGACACACCCTTAGGTCATGAGCAATCTTAGTGTGGAGTAGTAGATTCTAATGTCCCTCTGTAAGAAAGATATGGACCGGACACGAATGCACAGACAGACGGACAGACAGACAGACGGACGGACGGACAGACAGACAGACGGACGGACAGACAGACAGACGGACAGACGGACAGACGGACAAGGTGATTCCTATATACCCCCCCAAACTTCATTTGCGGGGGGTATAAAAAACAAAACAATTTTAACATCATTATCCTCCTATCATTTATATATCAGTCATCAAGAAATTACTAGTCAACATATTTAGTGTTGGGACAAGCTCCATAGAAAGACTTTTCTCATGTAAAAAGTTCTACAGGACAATCCTATTGAATAAAGCAATGTAATCAACAATGAATAATTATGGCACACCCAAATCAAAATTACACAAAAAAAACTTGTTCTCTTGATTTGAACTTTCTAAAAATGAAATTAATGCCCCTTAACTGTGGCATATTTTTAAAACACAGAAAACATTTGAATCAAAAGACAAAAAAAAATCAATGAAAACTTCTCATTGAGCTTATTCATATACAAATATATGCACAAGAACTTTACTTTGGAATAATTTCTCCCATTGTCTACCATTTACAAAATAAAGACTATTAATACAAACTGTGGACCGTAAGACTTGGACGAAGATAAGTAAAAACTTCCATTACTCAAATGATACAATGAATAACTTTTGTTCCATTATAAACTGTAATAAATATGAACTTTATTGCTGTCTAAAAACAGTATAAACATCTTTTTCAAAATCATAGTGAAAATATATCGACAAATTTATCATACAAATACAGTGAAGATAATTCAAATATTTGGCAAAGGTTTTGTGCATCTTTGTATTTTATTTAGCACTGTTTTAATTACATCAGTAGAGAAATGTATATGGAAAAACTACATATCAGGTATACATCAGAAGTCTGTTAAACATGATGGCAACAAAATTGTGAGATTAATGCTATTCACATGTGAAGAAAAACACACAATGCATGAAATTTCCTTTCATTTAAACAATCACTCCTTCAATTCAAAACAAACATCAACACATCAAAAAAAATCACTCTGCCCATTATGATATTATTTAATTGCATATTAAAATACTGAACATGAGTCTTGTCAAATTTCAAATGGATGGACAGTCTAAAAATTATGCAAACACAATGAATAAATAATGAACACAAGTTTTTATCAACTGTTGGGACCGCACACAGGAGTATACACTGTAAAGTTTAAAATGCCAGGGTATAAACATCACTCATAGGAGAACACTGGTGAGCTTAACTTTCACTTTCACAAATTTGTACTTTCAATTTTGAAACTAAACACTCAGTCTTGACTTTCATCAGTGTTAAATTCTTCTTCGTCACTGTAATCGGTGTCGTACATTTCTACCTTTTCGAAGTCTTCGTATCTAGACACAGGTTTAGCTGGTTGGAGTGAGCTTCGCTGTTTCTGCATGAATCTGATTTCTTTATCTATAACGTTTTTATCTGTATCCTTGTCTTCTGCTTTGAATTCTGAGACTAAAGGGAAAATATGTTCTATGGCTGCTTGGACATTGGCTACACTTGGAGCTGAAATAATTCAACAGGTACATAAATACATCTATATCATCTGGAAAGATTTTACACGTCCTACCATCTGCTCAACATGGAGTCTTGCTGAGTATTGTATACTTTTAGTTAAAAGATCTCAAAGAAAAAATAATGAAGCACCATGGTACTCTAACTGAATTTTTAATACACTGTACAAACTGCTGCAAAACCCTATGGCCATTAAATAAGTTGTATTAATATCCTATACATGTAGTAAAATCTACAATACAATCAGAACAAAATCATAACTTACCTGTTACTGTTATACTTCCTGTGGAAAATATTTTGAGGGTTGCTTTTGGTGATTTTAGTTTATATGTAACTCCTGGGTGTAACTCTGGTTCATAACTAAAAGAATTTACACCTTTATCAATATCTGACAGTTTAAATTAAATTATCAATACTACATATACGAAACATATTAATTAGCTTATGCAATTTTCATAATGTTTTCAGGCTTATTTTTCTTATCAAATTTTACCTTGCTTCTTTTGGATACTTTTGTGAAAAAGCAGCTATCTTAATACGAAATGGCATGCCACATGTTCCTAGAACATTTACGACCCTGAAATTAGTAAATTTCACTTTATATCCTAAGCGTTGTAATTTTCTGGCGAATTTCCTAGCAGCTATTCTGGATTCTTCCTCACTGAAAACAATATGAAAAAGAGTTCTTCAACATCATGAACAAATTGGGAATACGTATATATATGTATAATTAATCTATTTCATGTAAATAAGTATTGATTGTATTTTATTTATTTAACTTTTTGACTTGGAAATATATGCAAATGAAAACATAATCAGCTGGAAATATAATATGATCTTTATCAAAAAGTTTTTTTTTTACCTGGTGGCTCCTGTGCACACAATTTTCCCTGATGACCATATTGTTGCAGTTGTGTATGGTCTTCTTATTTTCATGTTGCACATCTTAACAAAATTAAAATATGTCATTGTCTTTAATTGAAAGCTTTTAAGAAAAATGAAACAAATTTATCCTTTCATATGATTTCTAACATTTAATGAAAAAGAAAGTATTCAGAATGAATAATGTTTAAAATTTGTCCAAGAGTTATAAAGTAAAAAATGTACCTGCTATTTTTTTTTTTTTAAATTTGTCTCTACAGTATTATTTTCTGATTGGTATTTCTTTATTGAACTACTCATATGATATACTTTAAAAACCATTACATGGGTGAAATTCTGTTTTCAATCAGATTATATAATAAGATACACAATTGTCAGAAATTCACACATCGATGTCGTCATGTTCTCATATTACCAGTACATGACACTCACAGATTGCTCCCTTTTGAATTCGACATGGGATCCTTCCATTGCAATATTTCTGAGGTTAAGATGACATCGTGTGTTAAAACTACAGACAACATTGTTGATGATGATGTCGATGGTTGGGGGTTCCTCTTCTGCTGGGAAGCCATTAGCATCCACAGAAGTCTCATCATGAACTTCCGACTCTGTTAGGTTCTGGGTATCCACGACTCCCTTGGATTCAAGTGGAAGACATTCCCCAACCTCCGTCATTTCCAATCAATTTCCACACAAAGTTTTCAAAGTAAATGTATGAATTTTTAATGATTCCAACCCATTGATGCTTTTAATGCAAATTACTTTGTCCGTCAGAATTTTCTAAACATTTGCATCTGGTTTGGTTCTTGTACACTTGGAATATAAAAATTCTTCTTTGAAGATTTTTACAAACCGCTAATGAGTAAAAATATTACAAAATGTTTCGTAATATACACAAATAAACTTTTTCTTCTACTTTTCTGATACCGTGGCAGCCATGCTTCTTTTCTTTGCATTGATACAGCCAATGAAAATGCGGCATTGGGGAGTATATAAATAACTGGAATACTTCACATTTAAGAAAATAACCCTAAAAAGGACCAGCATGCTAAAAGAAGAGTAATATGTCCCTAATTTGATATTTTTATAGAAAATCTCCTATAATAAACAATTTGATCCATAAGAATGCATTCAATTACATAAAATTCACAAAGTGCGTCTTTCTCAATGTTTGCAAAGAAGGATAACTCTTTCTGATTACCAAGGGACGATAACTCTTATGTACCTTTTTTCAATCCAGAGGTGCAATTTGTAAATTAAATAATAAATTATATTTTTTTAATTAAAAAACTCAGCTTGATGTATTTGTTGGAGAAAGTAATCAACATACAGAGGCCCAAGAGCCACAAAGCCCACCTATCAGTAATTCACGATCAAAAGATCACTCTGGTACTACCATGACTATATATAAATATATACTATTTGTCAAAAAGTCTTTTCCTCTCCTTTTATAAGGTTTATCTCTTTATCCTTTGAAGATCACTCACTGAATATATTTTTTGTATACCAATCCTATGATGTCATTGTTTTATTTTTTTTTTTTTTGGGGGGGGGGGTTTAGAAAGTTATGCAGTAAAATAATATGGATTAATATGGATTATGGATTTATAATAATAAAATCCTTGTCAAACATTGATGGTAATGTACTATAAAATATTTGATAAACAAGTAGACAATAACATCTCTCATGATTTGTGGTACTATGTATTCTTTAAATTTAGTTTATGGCTGATAATTTACATTTTCTTTCTTTAATAATATCCTCTCACCAAGGCCCAGACACCTAGAGATTAAAAACACACAACTTGTTGGATCAAAATCATATCATACCACAAATCATGGTTAATCATCTAAATTTAATATACACACCTGGTCACCAAAAAAATTAACTCCATATACAGCAACACTTTAGGCAACCTCAAATGGTCAAAAATTGATTCAACCATACTTGCATGTGTAAGAGGAAAGGAGAAAAATGGCTGCATGAACTATAGGAATCCAAATCACGCAAGACCACAGCTATTAAGTGTAAAGTCAATAAGGATATAACCAGTGAACTATCATGGACAAATCAGCTATAGTCCAAATGGAATCAATCTAAATAAAATTAGATGTTAAATCCCCTCACATACTCGCTACACTAAAATCTAACAACATCCAATAGAGGGTCACGTCAGAGGTCAAATTCGGAACAGCTCTTCGACTTATTCGCTTCAACAATTTACGATGATTTTGCAGGCGACGAATTTATTGGTTGATAGAATTTAACCTCTGACAGGTCCCTTAATGGGATGTTGTTCGATGTTAGTGAAGCGAGTATGCGAGCCGATCTAACATCTAATTTTAATTAGATTGAAATGGACCATACCTCCAAATGGACCATAGCTCTTCGCTATTCATTTTTGCTCTTGAAGACTGAGATAATACTCATATCCTCTATTTCAGAGAATGTACTGGTATGACTGGACTGGAAATTAGACTGTGGACTTCTTCACAAGTAAATAGCCACTGAAGCTAGTAACCAGGTGCTTTATCTTCAAAGCAACCCTGGCTGATATCAACTGCAGTCCAAATCCCCATCACATTCTTAAATCCTAGGTACATCCCTACAAATGAAAAGGTGTAACGGGAAAGGAAAAAATGTATGGCTGGACCGGGAATCGAACCAGGGACCCCTGCATCTCCACTCAGGTGCTCTACCAACTGAACTATCCAGGCCAGTATTCATGGCCAAAACCATAACATTCCTCCTTAAATGGTCTTCGCCCTCGAAGACATAACCCAAGTTCTTACTACCCCCTGGCAGGACTTTCCCTGCAATTCTAGGGATGGTCAATGGCACCAAATCTGTAACAGGAAAGGAGAAAATGTATGGCTGGATCCAGAATCCAGCCCGGGAACCCTGCATCTTTATTCAGGTGCTCTACCAACTGAGCTAAATTGGCCAGGGAATTTTCTGACTGCCCAATCATGACAAGGAGCACATAAGATGAGACCCGTCGGGGAGGGATGCATAATCCTCCATGGCACTAGATCCCATCTTTGATGTTTGGTCCATGTTTGCTCTGTTCTCATTTTATATTAATTGTGTTAATGGACTATTAAGATTCATTACAGTTCATTATTTCCATAGTTCATTAAACTTCTTAATAATTAATACAGAATGCAGGGATTTCTGTTTTCAGAAGACCCTTTGTTAAAATTAGCAGTTTTCACAATGAAAATAAAATAAAATGGAAGTAATTAATGAAAACTGCACAAAAGAAATTAGGAAATGTTATCCTTTAATTAAAATCTAACATCAAACTATAAGCATTTTATTTTTGCAATATTTTTTAGAAAATATTTCCTTGGAAAAATTCTTGATAATATCTCAGAACACTACAGTGTATAATACATGTACTTTTGATTCATAACTATTGCTTTGCCTGCTAGCAATTTTACATACAGGTATTCATCTACAACTAACAATATTATGTATTGAAAAAAATAGTAGCAAACACAAATGGAAACAGAATTCAATGACCAAAATGACACCGCATTTGAACTTGGAACAAATTAGCCAGTTATTTAAATTGTCATTCAGTATTCTAGTGATGCTGCTTGGGGAAGGTGTAGATGTAGATGGATCCTGTGTGGGGGAATCCCCTAAAGTTATCGGTACTCCGTACTGCTGATACAACCAAGTTTGTCTGCAATAGAGAAAGGCAGTAAATTCACATACAAAAAAAAAATAAAGTGATAAATATTTTCACTCTGGTTTGCATTTATTAAAATTTAATAAACAAATACTGTTACAACCGCAAACCACCCAACAGAACATTAAATATCCTCTAATTAGTTGAATATAATTTTACAATTACACACTGTTCTAGTTACCAGAGTTGGGTATTCCAAGACTTCAGCCACTCTCCCTATGTAAGCTTTGGGACTCACTGGAATGATCATGTCTCCTGCCTAAAATTATTGATAAAAGCTGGTTCTATTTAAAACAACAAACAATTTCAATCAAATATTTTTAAACTTTGTCTATACATGTACCTTCTATATTTTTACCACAAGAAATGCTTAATAAAAGTCTTATCTTTATTTTTGTAATACCGATACAGATGTTATTATGTGAAAACATAGGTATCAGGGTACATATGTACTGTAATCAAAGATCACAAAGCTTATCTCAACATATTTTATTTTTAACATTATTGAGGCAAAGTCCCACACTACACTAAAATACATGTACATTAAATCAATTTTGGTCCAGATGAGGCTTGCAATTACTGGGGTACTTGGGTATGGACTTGTCCTAAAAACTGAAACTGGTCACTCATCCAGAATGCTAGTGTGCATCCTTTGATGCACCCATCCTACATGATACAAGTATGGTCCAGGTATGCCTTGTAGTCACAAGATTGAACTGCTCAAAAAGCTTTGACTCAATGTTTAATTATATTCCATCCAAAGTCTAGTAGTACATGTAGTAGCAAGTAAAACTAACATCAATTCAAGTTCGCTCTATAAAGGACTTTAAGTCATTCACCCAAAAAATTATTGGGATTTCCAAATCTTTTTGACATACCTGGTATTTATGGTTTCCAAGAGATCAGTGTCTGAAATCTCTTACAAAAGTTCAACTGTATTTCACTAGAGAAAGTTTTTCTATGACATAGTTTGCCTCAGAGTTATTCCCCTTGGTTGCCATCAAATCGGTCAAAGAAGTGAATTTTACTCTTTGTGCAACCAATGATAAAGGTGCACAGATTTGAAGTTAATATTTTCTGTATAAAATCACAACTTACATGTATCTATTGTAACAGCATTTCACACAAAAATATATTAAAAATCTTATTTTATCTAAAAGTTATGAAACTTCAAATTTTTGGATGATGATAAGTTTGATTGACACATGATTGCACTTTCACAAATTTTAATTTTATTCTTAATGCATGTACTTAGGAAAAGTGGCAATCTTGTTGTGTATTACTGAAAAATATTAAAACTTTAATCCATGCATGCCAGAAATATATGGCAAAAAATACTTGCAATATTGAAACTATGAAAAGAGGCTTTAACAAATGTATGTTCATAAGAAAAACAGTTATCTTCACCTAAGTGCCTAGTATGACAAATTAAACTTGGTTGAATGATAGAGGATTCTTGGAATGCTGACATACAATCAACAAGATGGAAAACTTATCTATACTTCATGAAATATTGTGCAATGAAAACCCACTCAGCATGGTGAAATTTTTTTTTTCAAAAATGCAAATTCCTGTGCAATTACATATCAACAAAGATTACATTTTGGTCTCCAAAGATATGTTTATAATATGAATAGTTACTAAGAATACAAAGAAATCCCATAGTGGAAATAAAATATAAATTTCATTACTATATACAGGGTTATTTTTGCCCCGTGTTATTTTCGCCCTTTTGAACTTGTGAACAATTTTGCCCTGTTTTAAATTCACCCAGTCATAGTTCTGTTTAGGAAATTATGAGGTGTAATTTGAATTTTGCCCAATCAAGGAGAGGGTGAAAGGGGAAAAAAATAAAACAGGGGCGAAAATTTCCCTGTATACAGTATTAGGAATAATATTTTTTGTTGAAGTAAAAATTCAGGCACATTTAAAACTTGTGTAATAGGAAAGAAGAAAATGTATGGTAACTATGGTTGGACCAGGAATTAAACTCAGGAACCCTGCTTCACTAGTCAGTACCGTGCTCTACCGAATGAGCTACCCAGGTTGATACCCATAGCACAACCATTACATATCCCTCCTTAAAGTTATCTTTATCCTTGCAGACACAACCCAAATTCTCATTAGCCCCTGACAGGACTTTCACTTGCAAATCCAGAGGGGTCAATAGCATCAAATATGTAACAAGGAAGGAGAAAATGCACGGCTGGACCGTGAAAAAAGGGGCCCCTGCATCACCGGTCAGATGCTCTACTGACTGAGCTTA